TTAATTTGATTGTTTGAAAGATTGTTTCATTGATCGGTTGATTAATTGTTTGTTACTGTGATATTTTTCCCTCAAGACTACAAACAGCATCCATGATTATCATCTGAATATCAGAGCCTCTGACTGACAGACATTCTGGTATTGAAAAATTGCTTTTCATACCAGTCATCCATGACAAGGGTCACCCTGCCACTGTCATCCATGACAAGGGTCACTCTACCACTCTATCTTGGATTTCCTAAGAATAACTGAAATCATAAACAATCACAATGTAGAGAGTATTGTTAAATGCGAAGCTGATTTATTATGTTAGATATTTTTATTTATTTCAACCAGCTGGTTCACTTCTAGTTTTTCACAGACTGGATTTACAATAAAAATAAACACATAAGTACAATAAATACAAAATAATAAGTACAATAGATACAGACAGATATAAACAGATAAGTGTGAACAGACATGTAGAATAAGTATAAACAGATATGTACAGAAGGACAGATATGTACAATAAGTATAAACAGATATGTACAAAGAGTATAAACAGATATGTACAAAAAGTATAAACAGATGTGTACAGAAGGACAGATATGTACAAAAGTATAAACAGATATGTACAAAGAGTATAAACAGATATGTACAAAAAGTATAAACAGATGTGTACAATAAGTATAAACAGATATGTACAGAAGGACAGATATGTACAAAAGTATAAACAGATATGTACAAAGAGTATAAACAGATATGTACAAAAAGTATAAACAGATATGTACAAAAAGTATAAACAGATGTGTACAGAAGGACAGATATGTACAAAAGTATAAACAGATATGTACAAAAAGTGTAAACAGATATTTACAGAAGGACAGATATGTACAATAAGTATAAATTGATATATTTAAAAAGTATAAACAGATATGAACAATACAAACAGATATATACAATAAGTATAAACATATTTCTTCTTCCAGTCTAATATTGAATATTTTATGTAATGCACTACTTCATTATCTCTAATAGTTATATCAGCTGCATCTCATTTTCCAAAGTAAATTATCAAGCTATGTCAACTTTCACTTCATTACCATGTAATTTACAATGCAGGATTACCAGATATAACTCTTGTAAAATCTTATCTCGGAATTTCAAGGTCATATAGCTTGTATTAGAATCAGAAGCTCTAATTTTTGACAAATCTGAGTAGAGACAGGAGGGGCATCCTAGGACAAATTTACTAAACATATTTCTGATCAGCAGATGGAATTCTGAAGTTAATAATTTATAGCCATTTTACATCTCAAAAGTAAAGAAAATGTTTTACAGTTGCCATTAAAAGATCCCTTGATGCTTCTGGTACCACTTCTCATATCATAAGTTGACTTTTGCCTCCACAGAATCTATGGTGCTTCAGGTTTCTATTCAAAGAGCATAACAGAGTTAAGTGACATGCTATCATTACATTGAGATTACCATTGGCTTTTTGTTTTGTATACTCTGTAAATGGGAATTCTTGAAGTATCAAGGTCAGGTCGGAACAACCTTCTTTCATCCTACTTACAACTGAAAGCTTATACATCAAGATAGTGCAGTGATGCAAGTTTGATGGAAATCACATTGGAAACTTAGTATGGCTAATTCTTTGTATTAGTATTCTTCCCTATCGCTGATTTCAAAACATGAGATATTAAACCAAGGCAGAAATAAACCATCAACAGATTCCTGTCATCTTCGTGTAATTATCCGCTTGTCTGTATTAATATAAATGAACAGGAACATGAGCTACATGTGAGACTTGATATGATAAATGAAGTAATATTGCTGGAAAATTGATGTAATCCAGCTCCTTTGATGTAAATAGACTCATATGCTTTGTATCAGATTCTAATGAATTTCAGTTGCTATTCAATATTGTAAGTGTAGTCATATCCTGTTATCTTATAGGCAGGTTGTGTTTTGGTTTAAAGGTCCATCGTCTTTGGTGCAATAGTGGTCTTTGGCACAAGTTGTATCAAAAATCCAATTTTCACATCTTGTTATATACATCAGTATATCTTTCACCAAGATTTTTTTTCACGAAAATCTTCGTAGTAAAAAAAGCCAATCGACACTGCAGAACTACCTTAAAGGCTATTTGAGTCAGGGCATTTTAACACTGAACGTGACAAGAACATTGAACATTTTTCTGGATCAGGTGTTGCATTTGTTAAAATAGAACAACGTGATTAGCTTTAGTGCTTGGTAATAATTTGACATTTTAGATATAATATGAAACATGTTACATCATATTCCTTTTAATAAATTATATATATAAATAGAGAAAACCTACGTACCATTTGACATTTTGATATTTGACAATTTAGATATGAAACTAGTTCCATCAAATTCCTTCTAATAAATATAGAGAGACAAAGTTCTAATTTAAGATGTGGCTGCAGTATTGCATCTTCAAAAGAGGGAGAAAAAACAGACAAACAAACAAACAAACAAACAACAAGAAAAAATGAGCAATATTCTGGTATAACCCATGTTGTAAGGCATAGCAGCTACAAGTTAGTTCCAAAAGGAAATGGTCATATAATAAATTAGATAATAACCTCATCCTATTTCTCATTACTTTGTGTGTATATAATTTCCTGGTCATAAAACCTCTAAAGCCATAATTATAACATGTTATATGCAGCTAAAAGGCTCGTAATAGTGATTGAAAAGCTACATCGAGACAATATGTCTACATTTTCAGGATACAGCATCGGCTACTTGTTCTTTTTTAGAAAGATTGTCTAAGTTTTATCATGACATGAAGACATTTTGTATTCTGAAGCCCTCATCTCACCACTCCAGCTTTCAAGCAACACACCTTGTTAAAAGTATGTTATATGGTAATTGGATGGAACCAGTCTATAGAGTACCATAAAGAGACTATATTCCATTATGACATGACAAAGTTGTTTTTTATTGAAAATGGATAAGAACACCTCCATATATCTGAAGTATGAATTCTGCATTTGGAGGATGTTAGATTATATATTGAGACCATTTGTCACCTCGTTTTATTTCTCATCATAACAAAGAGAGCTTCATCTACTCTCTTTGAACTGTAAATATCCTTTGATCTAACATCACCCAGTCAGATAAGCTCTACCAAAATTAGCTACCCAATCAGAATTGCTGTCACATATTTATATATGGCTTTATAAAAATGCATTTCTTTCATATTCAAACTCCAATGAAATCCCAAAACCCTATTTTTAGGTCACATATCAGCATCAACTATAAATTTGTCTGTAATAGTCAGAGAGTAGTTATTGCTACTAGTTTCTGGTTCACAGGTTATTGACTTGAATCCACAAAATGTCAAGACAGTGAAACCTGCATAGACCGAACACCTCTCCAATCTGAACACCTATAAATGTGAACACTTATTGGCCTCAATTCTGTTAGTTTCCATTGACTCCCATATTCAGAAAACATTTGAATCATGTGAGCACCTCCATATCTGAACAATTTTGGACCTGGTTGTATTCAGATTAGACAGTCCTGGTTGTGTTCAGATTAGACAGTCCTGGTTGTGTACAGATTAGACAGTCCTGGTTGTGTTCAGATCAGACAGTCCTGGTTGTTGTCAGATTAGACAGTCCTGGTTGTGTTCAGATTAGACAGTCCTGGTTGTGTACAGATTAGACAGTCCTGGTTGTGTTCAGATTAGACAGTCCTGGTTATGTTCAGATTAGACAGTCCTGGTTATGTTCAGATTAGACAGTCCTGGTTGTGTTCAGATTAGACAGTCCTGGTTGTGTTCAGATACAGTCCTGGTTGTATTCAGCTTAGACAGTCCCGGTTGTTGTCAGATTAGACAGTCCCGGTTGTCAGATTAGACAGGTTTTACTGTATAATCAATCATATCAATACTGTCTTGGGGTGTTGGATTACAATGCAATCTATTCATAAGCCTTCAATTTCCTGAAATATGACAGAAACAAATATTTATATTGTATTTCTTACTAAAGTCTTGTTGATCAGGATACCATAGTTCTTTCAAGATATGAATCGGCTTGAAATTATGTGATTTTTAACATAATATTTTTGATACTACCTAATTTGTACCAACTTTGTTCACTTGGCTTATGCCATTCTGATACTCAGACCATCTCTGCAATGCACAAGAAGGAAACTGAGAGAAGGCTGTGATATCTCACAATGGGCTAATGCAGTGGGGATAGAATTTGGAGGCAAAATCATGGGCGGATCTGGAAATTTGAAATCTGAAAAAATCTTTTGGGCTAAAATGTTTTTTTGCTTGCCCCCCCCCCCTTATTCGAATTCGCCAGTGAAACAATATGACCCCTAGGGCCCTACACTGTAAATGAAGAATGTGCGTAGAAGTATTTGCTTCACAGCCTTCTGTGTCGGTCCTCGTACATAGAAACATATTAATGATTACAAAATGTGGATCAGATTACAATAATAGGGATCGGAATGATATTTACATGTTTTGTTTTGTAAAACCATATTGTTCTCTTGCATGTCTTATGAGAGGTTAGGAATTAGGCATGTGTTTCCATTGCCTTTGTAGTCTATTGTGTGCCAGACCACACACATAACCACCTTATGTAGTTCCGATGTGTGCCAGTTTTTCATATGGCAACCTCAAAGGATTTAAATGTTTACATCTTTAAGAATCCATTTTTCCAGTGTCGTCCCTGGAGTTTTTCGCATGGATGTAAAGCTCTCGATTTCAAAATTCTCACCAAAATATATCAAACTAGTGCCTGTTTTTATGTTTTTCTCATCTTCAGTGAGATACAAAATAATTTTCAGGTGGAAGATAGCCTCTTTCCAAAACCCTTGTGGGTACAGCATCTACTTGCTTGTATATTGGGGAGAGTACTCGTACCATTGTTTGACTTAACAATATGGTATATCTCAGAGGAAAAGATTACTGGTTTTCCTTCCATCTTGCTCAACCATATTTTTAATTTCATGTTTTAAATGTTTAATTTCAGAGAAAGAGTCGTGAGGAGAGCCATGGAGAAGGAAGTGGGGTGGAGATTATTACAAATGAACCTTATGAGGATGGCCCAGGGGGAAGTGGGCAGTACACATTCAAAGTCTACCATATAGGCAGTCATCTACCAGGTAAGTTGAATTGCAGGCCTGTAGCCAGCTTTTGCAAAGGGGAGGGGGGGGGGGCATTTTTTGGAAAATTACAGGCATCAAAGCCAATTTAGCCAAAAATCACTTGAAAGTGCTGAAAATGGTAAAAACTCCATTATTTTGAAAGAATTTTTGGCTCTGGGGAATTAGCTCAAATCCCCTAAACTGAGTTATAAGTCCATGCCAAAGGCCAAAGAGGATAAGTCACATTGCCCCCTTCCCATTCTCCTCTTGTTGCATTGTGGTAAGCACCTTCCCCATATCTGTCCTTACAAGCATCTATGAAACAACAGAGAGAATGATGTGTGATATGATAAGATATGATATGATATGATACAATACAATATGACATGACATAGCATGACACTTTCAAAAATGAACTTGGACTGCCTATGAACATAGACTCTTTAACCTTGGCCTGGGCACAATCAGAATTAGAAATCAGAAAATGAATTGATAGTTAGAGTCATTGAATGTAATACTCAGATATAGCTTTTTGTATATGGAAAGCAGATTGTTCAGGGTATCAAGAAACTAGCCTTTAAAAACTAATTATATAAAATTGATCAAAACAAACCAAATGCATGTAGAGATTGAATGAACTTTGTTCTCCAAACTATTATTCATCTTGTCTTAATGCGTATGGAGTTTCATAAAAAACAAATTAGCCAAAGATCCATACTCAGAATGTACACTCTCCTTCATAAGTTTGAACATCTCATAGCTCGTTTATGGTAATGTAACGACCCTTGGGCACGTCCGTCAGGGAGCTGTAGTGTACCGAGCCAGATACTAGACTCGAAAAAGAGTGTGCTAAATTCAATGCCCCCTACGGGAATAGACCTAGGACCTTCCGCTCTCAAGTCAGACGCTCTACCCCTGAGCCATAAGGGCTAGCCACTACAGCTGAGACTGTAGTAGCGACTTGCTATCGAAGGTCATTATAGTAATTTTGAAAGATCATCTTTGACAAAAATTCTTGAACTTTTGTAATTAGGAATAAAATTAAGATCCGAACATTGACATTGCTATCCAATTGAAAGTTCCAGTTGCCAAACTTATGGAGGGGAGTGTAACTTCGAGAATAACCTTTCTGTAGATATATATCTTCCTATAAAGCAATATCTTGCGATGTCCCATGAAGAATATGAAGATTTACAGTCTCTTGGGGTTAAGTACTCTTTCTACACTCATGGATTTGCATTTATTCCCCATTCACGGTACCTTCCAACGGAAATTACCATTCTCACACAGCCTTTATGTAATTTTTGTATAACTAATGAAATTATTGCATGTTTTTGCGTCGTGTGATAGCATTACGATGCGATATTCAAAGAGGATTATGGGAGTTTTGTTCGTAAGTGTTCTTTTATTGAAGCTAGATGATAATAATTATCGATCTTTTATTAAAGGGAATTGGCTTACATGGGAGACTTGAAAAATTACCAATTTGACTTTGATGTTCTTTACACTGCAATTTCTAATCTTAAAGGCTCCAATGAAGCATAAATGCCTTACTATTTAAAGCCTCACATCATTATAGTAGGACAATCTGTACATATTTTGTCATCGTGAGAGGGTCCATATATGGTAAATGACATTTAAAGACTTATACTATTCTTATAATATAATAAGACAATATGAATGCATCAATTTTTCATCTTAAAAGCTTATTCTAATATGATACGTGACATCACAATAGCTAGAACAATTGATTTACTGGTCTAAAATTCATAAATGCAAAAAGTTGTTTTTCTTGTCTGTTTATCATATTAGAATTGTAACAACGACCTCGATTTTACGATTTATGTCAAATATATGACCTCAAATTTTATTCTGGCCATTGCCAAAGACCTCAATCGCTACGCGATTTCGATCTTTTAACAATGATCAGAATACAATTTTCGGTCATATATCACGCCATAAATCATAAAATCTCGGTCTTTATTCCTTAATTGAAACTTCCTGGGTGTATTATTTAGAACTTCATATCATTAGAACTTTATATCATTATTAAGTAGACTTCAACAATTATACTCTCCTTGATATAAATACAGACTAAGACATCTTTGAGACGTTAATACAAATTCATTTTTAGGTTTGATATTTAATCCCACACATGAAAGCTAAAGATGCCTTAGAAATCCTAAACAGCTTTATTAAAGGCCATTATAATTTGTATAATAATTAGACATTTAGAACAGTGTCAGTCAGTATCATGTTGCACCTCATGCCACTCCATTGAGAATGTAATAAATAAAACTATATGCATTTGCAGAATGATAATTAGACGATAATAAATCAGAACAAAGGCCTTAATCATCTTCTCCATTGACATAATAATGCTTACTTAAGGGAAATTTCATTAGAGACCTGTACAGACTTGATAGAAGAATATCCAATTCCAGTAGCAATGCTAGCCTTTTTATTGCTCTTTTTCTATTGTGTGTTCTATTGTTGCCGTCTTTTGCTAATATGGGCCTGTGTCTCTGTATGTATCTGTGTTGGCGGGTACTGCAAACCTTGTTTCCAGGAAAACTAGTCCGTTCAACTTGGAAATTTTATAGATGCAAGAGCAGACTAATGCCAACAACTGATGACAATAGGTTCTGGGCATGCTGGGTAAATTACGTGGTGATACTGACACTACCTTTTAAATTTTCAAAAAACGATTGTGAAATTTTTATAGATGTAAGAGCAGACTAATGCCAACAACTGATTAGGTTCTGGGCATGCTGGGTAAAGCGATCACTTTGCTTCTTGTTAGCTTACTTCTGACTTGTTAACGAACAACTGGCAACTCAATATTGATGACAACATCATCTGAGAAACACTCAGAAGTATTTTCCATTGCAGAGACAATCAATTGTTTGCTGTTTTCAAAGGATTCTGATTTGAAAGGGTTGATGAAAGAAATACTTTTCTTTGAAATCGTATTGATGAAGCTCTCCTTATATGGGATACAAAGCCTTATATGGAATACAAAGCCTTATTTGGTATATTAAGCTTAACTCATCAAAGAGTTCCTCCAAAGTCTTAATTGAAGGGAAAACTAGGGCAAAATATTCCAAGTAGATCTCATTCTGAAAAGAAAATTCTAATTGACGATGAAAATGTTAGATCCCCTATAATCGGATGCAGTCTCTGAGTCCAACGAGGCAATCCTTTAATAAAGGTTTCTATTTTCATTTTTAATAGTCTTAAAGCTTTACTACAAACATTTTATCTGGACAGTCCATACACATAATAACTGCCTTTTGAGTCTCTTAATTGGCAGATTTATCATATGTGGGGCTAAACTATGAGGCAGTGCCAAAATTGAACCAAATTTATTTTGACATTTTTTCATCTTTAACTGCAAAAAGGTATATCGCATTGATATACACTATCCTCTATTTGAATTTGTAGCCCAGCTACGCCCCATACCCAGTGATTATTATATTTTCCACTTGAAATGATCCCAGTTTACCGAACCTTCTAGATCGTCTAACAGTGTATAATTATTTTATGTTTATTTCCTGCTTGGATAGGCATATTAGATATTGACAATTGTTATTTTCAGAGCCAAATAGATGATAAAATTAATAACATTTTATTGTGATTAACAACGGTATAGTGTTTCTGTAATATCAGTTTTATGCCTATACATATTTTATGTCTACCCCTATACAAATACCCTATGAATGCCACTTAATGTAGCTGAAGGGATAGAAAATGAGATTAGAAAAATTGTCTTTATAAATGTTACAATATTTTTGCCCTCATCATTGATGAAGATTACAATCGAGATGTCTTTTTCAGTTCTAATATGATATGAATTCATATGTAAATGTATACAGTAAAACCTGTCTAACCTGAACACTGCTTGGATCAGCAAAATGTTTTCAGATTGGCAGGTGTTTACGTTTTGAGCTTTTTTTAAATAGAGAATATAGTCTATGGCAGAATAAAAAATGGGACCAATATCATATCGATTCATATCAATAGGTGCTTATACTGGAAAGATGTTTGAATATACAGGTTTTACTGTATTTTTCCAGGATGGCTGAAGTCCTTATTGCCCAAGTCTGCCCTTCAAGTCCAGGAAGAGGCTTGGAACGCATACCCTTATACCAAGACTCGATATAAATGTCCCTACATTGAGAAATTCCCCCATATACCTGTGTATTTTCCTTCCAGGATGGTTGAAGTCCATATTGCCCAAGTCTGCCCTTCAAGTCCAGGAAGAGGCTTGGAACGCATACCCTTTTTTTTTTTTTTTTTTATTAAAATCAATGTAACATATTTACAGGTTGTAGTGGCTATGACCCCCAAGAGGGAGTATTAGGTACCACATAATGGTATTTACAATGATTTGTGAAATATTATAAGAAGTGTACATGTAATTGTGTAAAGTATGATATTGTACATAATTGGGAAAATAAACTGATTTATACCAAGACTCGCTATAAATGTCCCTACATTGAGAAATTCCCCCATATACATGTGTATTTTCCTTCCAGGATGGTTGAAGTCCATATTGCCCAAGTCTGCCCTTCAAGTTCAGGAAGAGGCTTGGAACGCATACCCCTATACCAAGACTCGCTATAAATGTCCCTTCAGTGAGGAATTCCTCTTAGAGGTATATCATGTGTATTTTCCTTCCAGGATGGTTGAAGTCCATATTGCCCAAGTCTGCTCTTCAAGTTCAGGAAGAGGCTTGGAACGCATACCCCTATACCAAGACTCGCTATAAATGTCCCTTCATTGAGAAATTCCTCTTAGAGGTGGAAACAAGGTATACCAATGATGGCGGAGACCAGGAAAATATGTTCAATCTCACTGCCACAGAGAAGCGTAACAGAATACTTGGTGAGTGTATTTAATTTCTTTGATGCAGTGCATTTTTTATTTAATTTAAATCAGACCCTTATTTATCTATAACTGGTCAGGAAAAATAGAATCATGGGAAGGGACTATTTTCTTTGTTACTTGCTTTTATTGTATTTCAAATATTCCAATGTTTATCATACCCTGTACAGGAAAACTTGGCTAAGTGATCTTAAAATTGAGTATTTTTATTTAGGAAAGATATTTTTACTGTTCAAACTTAAAACTATATTAATTTATGCACTTTGTTGACTACAGTAATGTTGTACGATCAAAGGTTGTAACACAGATACATGTATTTTTTAAGATATGAATATTTTCATTTCTTTACACATTCAACTATATTTCCAGATTTCATAGATATAGTGAAGGACCCCATCTCCAGTGGTGACTTTAACAAGGAAGAAGATCCAAAGACATTTGTGTCTGACAAGACAAACCGTGGGCCCCTGTTGGATAATTGGAGAGAGGAATACTCAATAGCAAACAAAGATCCCAACAGTGGCAAGAAAATTATGACAGCCTATAAGCTCTGTAAAGTTGAGTTTAAATACTGGGGAATGCAGAGTAGAATAGAAAGGTTCATACATGACATAGGTAGGTACATTACATACATGACATAGGTAGGTCTTTTATATACATGACATGGGTAGGTCCTTTACATTCATTCATCATAGGTAAATACTTTAGATATATAACATAAGGAGGTCCTTTATATATATGACAATAGGTCCTAACAGTGGCAAGAAAATCATGACAGCCTATAAGCTCTGCAAAGTTGAGTTTAAATACTGGGGAATGCAGAGTAGAATAGAAAGGTTCATACATGATATATATGTAGGTAGGTCCTTCATATACATGACATAGATGGATCATTTACATAGGTAGGTTCTATAACAATTAAAGGAACAGCTAGACAACAAAATGAAGCCTCATTCAATAGGCTCCCATTCGTTATTTCTTATACTCATTTTTAAAAAATAGGTTTAAATTACTAAAGTAGGTCAAATTAGAAATATCTCATGATACCACCTCTTTGTATTGAAATACCATTGCCATTTACAACATTATAATAACATTATTTGCTTGGACAACCTGTTTCATGAATCGTGATATTTGCAGGTTTACGTAAGACGATGCTACGAGCCCACAGACAGGCCTGGTGTTGGCAAGACGAGTACTACGGGCTCTCCTTGCAAGACATTAGGCGTCTTGAGGCAGAAACACAAGAGGCCTTAAAGGAAAAATATAAAACAAACAATCCAGATGAAATAAATAATGAACTTAATGAACAGACCACTGGGGGATTAAAGAAAATATTGCCTGTTAAGGAAGATACAGTTGATCAGAAAAGTCCACAAATTTTACATCACGCAGCAAGCGAGGATCAAAATGAGGCTGATGGAAACATCGGTGGTGTGTCGCGTGTTGGGTCAGGGAGACGAGCGGCATGGGGCAGCAGTAAATCAAAATCAGCAAGTAAGTGTCCCTCTCTATAGTATACCTTCAAAAGTTTAAGTAAATGCATCTGTTAATACTCAGGTTCCAAAATGGTTAGGAGTTAAGGTACCTTAAATCAACAGTCAGTGATCGGAAATTTTTTATTCATTTCTGAGAGGTGCAATCGAATATAAATATCAATAGAATCATTATGTCATTATGAAACTTGTATTTTGTTAGTTTTAGCAAAATGAAAGTTCAAAGTAAATACGAAAAGGCACATTTGATGATTAAATCCATAAAAACCAGACATTGAACCTGTATGCATATAATGTTATCATATTAATAATATTAATTGCTCTCAGGGGAAGATACCAATATTATTTTACTGCCTATAACTAAGTTACTAAACCATTATACATCTGTAAAATAAAACTTTCATTGAAGAACCACTTTTGAACATCGATTACCAAGTGTCTGCTAAAAAGCCATTGTTAGCACACAATGGTTGCACACAATGGTAGCACACTATGGAAGCACAAAATCACAACACACAAGTTATTATGCTATTATGTCTTGATGAAATGATATGATGGCTGAAGCGTTTCTTGTTTTCAAAAAATGAAATATTTTTTAATTTCTTGTTCCTTTATGACTTAAGAATAATTGGCTTGGGGCCTCTGGGCAGACATTTATGTAACCCATGGAGTTCATAAATAAAAACTTCTTTGAAATTAATTGCTCAGTTCATTGTTTTCTGACTTTGATGCACTTATATCCATGGTAACAACATTTTATTTATGAATTCTAATCTACATAAAGCTCCCATTAATGACCCCATTGGTTAAGTTCTGTATACTTTTGTTATAGCAAGCAGAAAGAGCACCAGAGACTGGAGGGTTGAAAGTATGGAACAGTTGGTACATTATGAATTCCTATCTTCATGAAGCTCCTATTAATGACCCCATTGGTTAAGTTCTGTATACTTTTGTTATAGCAAGCAGAAAGAGTGCCAGGGACTGGAGGGTTGAAAGTATGGAACAGTTGGTACATTATGAATTCCTATCTTCATGAAACTCCTATTAATGACCCCCTTGGTTAAGTTCTGTATACTTTTGTTATAGCAAGCAGAAAGAGTGCCAGGGACTGGAGGGTTGAAAGTATGGAACAGTTGGTACATTATGAATTCCTATCTTCATGAAACTCCTATTAATTACCCCCTTGGTTAAGTTCTGTATACTTTTGTTATAGCAAGCAGAAAGAGTGCCAGAGACTGGAGGGTTGAAAGTATGGAACAGTTGGTACATTATGAATTCCTATCTTCATGAAACTCCTATTAATGACCCCCTTGGTTAAGTTCTGTATACTTTTGTTATAGCAAGCAGAAAGAGTGCCAGGGACTGGAGGGTTGAAAGTATGGAACAGTTGGTACATTATGTATACCTATCTTCATAAAGTTCCTATTAATGACCCCCTTGGTTAAGTTCTGTATACTTTTGTTATAGCAAGCAGAAAGAGTGCCAGGGACTGGAGGGCTGAAAGTATGGAACAGTTGGTACATTATGAATTCCTATCTTCATGAAACTCCCATTAATGACCCCATTGGTTAAGTTCTGTACACTTTTGTTATAGCAAGCAGAAAGAGTGCCAGGGACTGGAGGGTTGAAAGTATGGAACAGTTGGTACATTATGAATTCCTATCTTCATAAAGTTCCTATTAATGACCCCTTGGTTAAGTTCTGTATACTTTTATTATAGCAAGCAGAAAGAGTGCCAGGGACTGGAGGGTTGAAAGTATGGAACAGTTGGTACATTATGAATTCCTATCTTCATGAAACTCCCATTAATGACCCCATTGGTTAAGTTCTGTATAATTCTGTTATAGCAAGCAGAAAGAGTGCCAGAGACTGGAGGGTTGAAAGTATGGAACAGTTGGTACATTATGAATTCCTATCTTCATGAAACTCTTGTTAATGACACCTTGGTTAAGTTCTGTATTCTTTTGTTATAGCAAGCAGAAAGAGTGCCAGGGACTGGCGGGTTGAAAGTATGGAACAGTTGGTACATTGTGAATTCCTATCTTCATGAAGCTCCTATTAATGACCCCTTGGTTAAGTTCTGTATACTTTTGTTATAGCAAGCAGAAAGAGTGCCAGGGACTGGCGGGTTGAAAGTATGGAACAGTTAAAACATTGTGAATTCCTATCTTCATGAAGCTCCTTTTAATGACCCTCTTGGTTAAGATCTCTATACTTTTATTATAGCAAGCAGAAAGAGTGCCAGGGACTGGAGGGTTGAAAGTATGGAACAGTTGGTACATTATGAATTCCTATCTTCATGAAACTCCTATTAATGACCCCCTTGGTTAAGTTCTGTATACTTTTGTTATAGCAAGCAGAAAGAGTGCCAGGGACTGGAGGGTTGAAAGTATGGAACAGTTGGTACATTATGAATTCCTATCTTCATGAAACTCCTATTAATGACCCCCTTGGTTAAGTTCTGTATACTTTTGTTATAGCAAGCAGAAAGAGTGCCAGGGAATGAAGGGTTGAAAGTATGGAACAGTTGGTACATTATGAATTCCTATCTTCATAAAGTTCCTATTAATGACACCTTGGTTAAGTTCTGTATACTTTTGTTATAGCAAGCAGAAAGAGTGCCAGGGACTGGAGGGTTGAAAGTATGGAACAGTTGGTACAAGACGATTCCTCTGGGGAAGAGGAGTTCTTTGATGCATTTGGTAAGTACAGCTATAAAATAATACAATGTCAGTCATCAACGCATTTGAGACACTGAAACATCATTGGTTACTTTTTTTAATATGATGAACACAGATTCAGCCATTAATCGAATAACTGAGATAGTCTGTAAACAGGTGTTTTTTATTCTAAAATATTGCATGAACTCATACAAGAACCTCTATTTCTAGAGTTGAAATACATTTCAATATGTTGGAATATCATTTTAATATGTATCACATATCTTGTAATATCTAAGCTTGAGATTTTTTATTTTGAAATAAATCTGAATCATCAACATTTTTGAAATAAGATCAATATGTAGAATTTACTTTAAAAAAGATAGTGTAATGGATCTAATGTCAAGGAGAGGATACATTGATTTAAAATCCTCTCCTTGACATTAGACCCATTACACTATCTTTTTTATCGTATACATGTATGTATTTCAAAATCTATGTCATTCAATTTGTTAGTTTGTGTTGGGCCTCAAGGTGTTGATGGATCTTATATGTTTTTCCAGAGGTGTTAGAGGAAGAGCCAGATGACCATAGTAATCCCTCAATGTATAGATCTTCATCAATGGATATAATTCCACAACCTGATGATAGAGGTCAGCACCTACTCTACCTGTTACACAGTATTGTAAAGTTCATTGAAACATCATACAGTTGATGCACAATACAAATGTCTCATTTTCAAGTTAATTTTCTTTAAAATTTTTGAAAACGAGTCAATCATAGTCATACATGTATGAAAACTTGAACACTTTGGCCCCCTTGAAGGCCCATGCTTCACATATTAAATTTCGTAAACAAGAAGTCAACAATTTAAGAATACATTTCATTTTAAATCAGTGTAGACATAGTATTCAACGAAAGAATACATTTTACATCCCTCTTACCTTTCTTATATGTCCTTATTCTGTCAAAATACTGTAGACCATGAATTCGTCATCATATTTCAGACACAAGTGCCGTAGAGGCTGATGAGGTATTCAGCTCAACCAATGAGAAACAAGAAGACAAACTATCTGGTAGTGACCAGGGAGGGGAGGGGTCACCAGTCAATATGCAACCGTCCAATTGTAAAACCACCGTCTTGTTCCTTGTGCTCCATGGAGGTAGGTCGATAGGTACCGTACATTACCATACTTTTAATGTACCGTACTGTGATTTAGAGTGTGGATTGTGGGTGTAGTTTAATAATCCATTCTTCTATAATGTTTCAGGCAGTGTGTTAGAGACAAGCAGCCACGAGCACCAGAGCCATAAACATAATGACATAAGTATTCTAAAGTCAACCCTTGACCATGTCATACGTGCCTACTACCCATCTATACACAATCGCATAGCTGTACGTCTTGTGTCCTGTCCTCCTATATGTTCGGAGACCTTACGGGTCCTCTCTAGGTGAGCAATTTCACCGACTTTTATTTCTCAGTACAAATAGGGTCTAGTTTTATTGGTATTGGTACTCTTGTATTTATAAAAAAAAATACTGTAAAAGTAATATAATTTTTTACAAGTTGTTTAGCTCAGCAGTAGCGCTTGTACCTCTTACGCACTACGTCCTGGATTCGATTTCCGGTTCAGGCAATACTTAATTTGCTTGTTTGCGTAAAGTACTTCAGGGTGTTTGACTGAGTGGTCCACAACTCCTAAAAAGGCCATGGTGTGTACTTGTGTGTCTATGTACCCGTGCACATAAAAGAACACAGAACTCCTCCTAGGAGTGGTTCCTGGGTCTCCATTCCATGATTACACACGTTAATTATGACCGTATTTATATTGGATATACCCAAGAGGTTATTGTAATTGCTCACCATCATTGGTGGTAAACCAAATACAATACAATAGAGGGAGTACATAAAAGCCCAATATATGCCATATGGGCAAAATCTCACTTGCCCCATTGAGCCCCACCATGCCCCATCTATTCCTATGGAAAAGATGTAATTTAGTTAAGTGGGTATTGCCATGGCCATACTGATCCCAAGTCAACTGACACATCACATGATCAAAAGTTCTACAATTCTCCATGGAAGGAATGAACATGTTCATACTCAATGGGGTATTCTGAGTCCTTGCCCCATCTTAATCAATTGTGGAAAGTCCCACAGAGTCCATAGGGCAAAAATTTATGAAGTCCCATGAAGTCCCATGAGGTCCCATGCAATGTTAAGTCTATGGAGGTCCCACCATGCCCCATTGGTGTATGTTGAGCTTAACTGTACTGTTCATATTGTATACAATACCTTATAAAAACTGCCAGATTATACAGCATGACAATGTTAAAGCTAGATTATAAAGTACAGAAATTTCTATATCATAAAACATTAAGGCAAAAAACATAATACAGGGTGGACCAGAAAATGGTACCCTTATATATATAATTACAATCATAATGAGTAACATTTTTTAGCCCACTCAGTAATTGATTTTTATTCCAGTTTAAGTCCATATGGATTTGATGCTCAATCACCCGATGCCATGGATAACTCCTTTGCCAAACGTAGCGACTTCATTCCCATAGGAGCTCTGGCCCTGTTTGCCACAAACAGCCCTGAGTATCATGACATTGTTACCACGGTGATCTCCAGGGCTAACTATGTATACAGCGACTTTCTGAAGTCAGAGGAGGGGCTAGGCTTTAATGGGCAGGTAAAATGTGTTTCTTTATGATTTCTTTCATTGTTTGTTGTTTGATGAGACCATTTGAAATATTTAACCACAATGTCATCATTAGTGAGTGGGAGGCTATAATTTGTAGGATTTTTAAAGGAATTCACCAACAGAATTTAGTTTCTTATTAATTCCAGGTGTGCTTAATAGGTGACAGCACTGGTTCAGTGATTGGCTATGATGCACTTTGTCGCTGTTACTATAGCAACAGTTCCCGTGCAAGTAGCAGGGAAAATCTGCCACAGGACATTGAAAATGACACTTCTATTTTTCATAAAAAGTCAAATCTAGAAACTATTAAACAACTGAGTTTTAGCAATCCGGATTTATTATCGCAATCTCCGACTGAATCCCTCGAGGAAAAGCAGAAACGTTGCAGTGATAGTGAACCGCGTGATATGGAGAATGATTTACTAAAGCGCCCTCCAGTGACAGTCCGACATCTTTCCCTCCCATGCTCTAGACGGACAAGTTCAAGTAGTCAACCGGACTTTGGGGCGAGGCTGGAGTTTGACGTCTCGGATTATTTCATGTTTGGTTCCCCCCTGGCCATGGTGCTCGCCTTTAGGAAAATGCACCTTGGAGAGGATAAATCTGGTATGTACAAGTACATGTACATGTGTAGTAGGCTATCTTTGTGTTGCTTCTCTTTATAAAGTACATAGTTATTAAAGGGGGATGTAGTGATGAATTCATAAATATTCTGAGGGCGTATTGGGGTAAGAGCATATCAATCAGAGTATCTTGGTGCAATTACTGTAAGTAAGCCGTTTTACATCACATACGCAAGTGGTCTCTTTTTTGTGGACAGTGTTCAGCAGGCGCCGATCGGCTTCAGCATCTGTAACAAATGGCTGGTGGCGATATTTTGCATGTTAATGCCTTGTCTATCAGTGATTGCAACAATGTTTATGATTAATATTCTATTCACTCTCTAGTGCCTCCCTTACGTCCAAGCTGTCATCAACTATACAACTTATTCCACGCTACTGACCCCTCAGTTGCCCGTCTGGAGCCGCTACTTGTCTCAAAGTTTGCAAAGACAGCACCAATCAAAGTGTGCCGTTATCAGAGATTTCCACTGGGAGATGGCCAGTCTACACATGTTGGTAAGTTACAATGAAATAACGCTAAATCTGAATAATGTTGGTTCGTAAGAACAGTCCATTTAATTTAAAGGACACCTTACCCTTTTATTCAAGCCATACCTTTGACATTAGGACTCAGAAATGTAGAAGGTGGTATATTTGCATTTCAAGCTTAATTTATATCTCATCCGATATTCTGGCCCAGAAGATTTTTCTAAATGTTTGTCTATCCCATCCTCCAAATACAGGCATCCAGGTCTTGTACCTCGTTTATTGAAGGAAAAAACACATGATGGCCGAAGCTCTGCGTTCAGAGGATTGTCTTTGCCTATTGGCTTATTTTCATGACATAATGATGAGAGTCTTGACATATTTATAAGGACTATTGAAGCACACCTTTCACACAACCCTGTTAGTAACCAATACCAAGAGTATCCATAGCAACAATATATGTGATTTTATTGTAATGTGTTAAGGTGCACTTTGGAGTTGTTTTATATTCACATGTGTAACACTTTTGATGTTAGAGTGGTTAATCTGCACCTTTCAAGTTAAAGTTTCTTGTTGAAGGCCATTTCTCAAAAATCTTGTAATCTATATTTTATGATTTTAAATGAATCATTGCAGACTTTTTATCACACCATCGGTGGGACTTTTTTATATTTTATTTTTTATTATATTAATATTACCATAGCAACCTACCCGAAATGCAATTTCTGCAGAAGACAGAAAACATGTTCAGGCACCCAATCCATGTGAAGGACAATTGTAAATCAGGAAACATTATCATTGAACAATATTCTTGAGAAATGGCCTCCACACTGATGAACTGTATATGCTATTGTGGTTACCATGGTAACAGTGGATTAGAAGTTTAGGATCAATATTCTAGAGATTATAATGCAAATGGTTAATGTGTCTCTGCTTTCGTCCACTTTTTAAGGATGTGTTTAGAATGTACATGTTATTCAAATGTATGCTTGTTTGTATTTTATATTATATTTGTATCTTCATGATAGCTTAAGCAGTGATCGTAGTGCAGAAAAGCACCAGATTTGCAAGGAATATTTGGATTGTGTGACTCTATATATGTCAAAATGCACCACTGGAAAACCCTCTTAAAGTGACACTGTAATGTCATCATACAATTTTGAGAATACCATATATGGATGTGTAACAAGCACTTCTGCTTTTTTCATTACAGTTGGACATCCCTGAAATGTTTATCGTATACCTTGTACCTTGTTTTTAGAGCCCTGTTATATAAATCACCATTTTTTACCTTTACATACCCTCACCTCGAAGACTAAGTGAAGTCCCAATATATGTGTGATTTAATGCTCCCTATAGTTGAAACTGTACAAAGTCAGTGTGAGTTGTTCTCGGAGAATCTCTACCCCCATAGCTACGACCACAGACGTCCCAGCACTATAAGCATGGCCAGTATAGTCTCTGGTACAGGCGAGTTGAACATAGCACACATCACTGCAAGTAAGCTGGCTAGCTAGAGTGTCGTCTGCACTGCAACTGTGTTACAATGCATTATGGGTAAAATGTCATGGTGGTCATCTTTTGGAATGTAAAAAAGAGCAAGAAATAGTGGATTTAGCAAGGGCGATTGTCGACAGGCATGTAGAGGATATTTTGAATTGTTTTGAAATATAAGTAAATTAGAGACTTTATTCAAATTTTAGAGAGCGAATGGAGTACTTTAACGACTTTATTCAAATAGACAAATAGAATTGAATTGAGTAAAACAAGCATGATGACCAGAATGATATTTGAACTGTGGGTAGTTATCTGTTGACTACAGACACTGTTCTCATAATCTTATTGCTCCCTTGCGAAACATAAGTTGATCTAGAATCCTAAATTCACATGAAAGGGCAAACTGACATTTTCCTAAGAAGTCAAACTTTACGCTCGACACACCAACAGTTCAGTTGTGGGTTGAGGGTAAATTGTTACTTGTATTTGAATAATTGAGCAATTGGATCAAAGGGATTATGGAACATACAGTGTGTGTACTAAGTGTTACAAAAATAAAAAAGTAAAATATGAAAATTGACCAAATGTTTTATTTTTTTAATGCAAGAGCTAATTATATGGAAATCAGTTTAATCACTGTTCCACAACTCGACTTTTTTGTGATTATGAGTCAAAGAAAGCATTCTCGAGTTTCAAATTGACTTCTGTGGTAACTTGAAACCATCTTCTAATTTATTCCACTTACTTTTTATTGTTTCTCCAAATATATTCTTTGAAAATCGGATTTTAAGGGTGTTAATCAGGGCAATTCTGTGCCATTTTAATCAAAAACCTTGTTGCTACCTAGAAACGAGCAATTTTGATCTTGTTGTTACCTAGGAACGAGCAACTGTGATGTCATGTCACACTCATGTTAATTCTGGAATCACATGGCAGCCATTTTGGAAATTTCAAAAAAGTTCCCAATTCTTAAAATCGCGGATTCGGTAGTATTGAATCTCTAATAAAGATGGCGCGAAAGTTTTTCCTTATAAGGTCAAAATATTTCCCATGATGCAGTTCGCGGGGGAACAAAATTTTTCTACCTTGTTTTTCCCCGTTGGTTTAACATGGGGATTTTCATACCCATTTTTCAAGCGATATTTTCGATCGAATCTCCATGCGATCGGAGAAAACAAACTATCAGAAACAATTAGTCTTTTAATAATCTTTATATAACATATATTTTTTTTCATTTTATTGGCTCCTAACGGGGTGAAAACAATGATTGAAAATGGGAGTATATTCCGGAAGAGAAGAAGTCACGTGACTAGTCGCCATATTGGAAAAAGCAATTCCATTCGACTTTCAACACGTTCATGCCAATATTACCGCACTACAAACTGTAACATCGATGCAACAACTGAATAAAAGTACTCATCTTCATATTACATTATAGAGTTACGTTGAAAACCCACAAACAACTGAGCATTTGACCAAAGAAGACACGTCGCTATTATCTAGGTCAAGTTTAGTGGTTCGAAAGCAAATCTTACATACTCGTTTCCGAATTTTGTTGTTAATTGTATAATCTTTTATTGATTAAATCTGGTATACTGACTATTAATTCAATGACAAAGAAGAAGAATTCCGATGGTGTCATTTTTTTATTTAGCTTGCGGGTGTAAAAACAAAATTGCGTAATTAATTTGATTTAGAACTTTCGGGTCTCACAAATAGCTACACGAAATGCATCGTTGAAAAATATTGACCAATCAAATTTTGTCCTTTTTGAGTACATATATGCACCATATATGCGAACGTTCTGATTCAAAGAGCGAACAGCGAAATGGAGAATTAAAAAGGCTAAATGCTGTTTACAAATTGGAAACTATTGCAGAATCAACAAAGGGTTTGTGAAATAATTAGGATATGGTTTCAAAATTATGCACATGACAATATATGACTACTAAATGCAGGCAGGGACTTTTAATTGCCAAAAAGTTGAGTGTCAAAAAGCATTGGTATCTACCTTAGTTACTTTGATGGAACGTGAATGTAACAAAATGGATGAACTTCTTGGATACAAGTTTTTTGTTTTCTTGATTTAAACTTACGTATGAGTCATGTTGCGAATTATCATTTGGCATAAAGTTTGACAATACAAGTCTAGCTTTTAGAAATGCTCTTTGTTTGGAATTTGATTTTTAAATAAAGCTGTAATTCATGCATTTAGACCATCGCTTTTGTAACATTGACGTAAGTCGTCAAAGTAACATACATTGGTAATATAACGGACTTTCATCAATGTAACAAAAGCGAGGGGCTAAATATATGAATTGCAACATCATTTACAAAACAAATTCCAAATCGAAGAAACTTATTAAATCTAAAACATATTTTCTAGCTTTGTGCCAAATTATAATCTGCAACTTGACTTATAAGTAGGTTTAAATCGAGAAAACAAAAAACTTGTAACCAGGAAGTTCATCCATTTTGTTACATTGACGTCCCGTCAAAGTAACAAGTTGTGGAACAGTGTTTAATACACGCCCAAGAAATGACTCAAATTGAGAAAATCCTTAACATCTACAATTGCTCGTTTCGAAGGGGTCATACTTTCTTGGGTGTACACTAGACTTTAAACACAGGGAACTGTAGTAAGAACAGGGATTCCATTAGCATCAGGCAACAGGCAATTTTTCCATCTCTTTCCATGCTAAGATTAAAGTTTCTAACAATATTTTTATTTGCCTATTGTCAGATTTTTTAATGGAACTCCTGTGATAAGCATGATTTTGTTGTAACTATGTTGTGTGTTTTATTGTTGTAGTTTCTGCATCTTCATTATTTTTGCAGTTTTCTACAGCAGTCATGAATATATTTAGATATATAGTTATATATACATGTAGTATTGATTAACGTTGAAAAGTATGATGTATACTAAGTCCGTGGACGACACTTGCATGAAAGGGGAGTAGTGTAACAGAGATTTTTATTTATTATAATTTGTTAAGCAGTTAGTCTAAGAAGGTGCTACATTATTAATGTTGTGTGGATGTAGCTTATTACTTTTTTAATAGAGTATTTGCTTGATTGTGGAGAATTTGATAAATAATCACTCAATTATATCAATTAATATTTATTAATAATTTATATTTCCAGTCCTTTTTTATGGCATACCATGAAATGAATAATTTCAGGTGGTAAATTCCTATATTAGAATATTATCTGTTGTTAAAAAGTGATGTCTTGAATATTTGATTTGATTTAACAAAATTGTGTTTAGTTAAATGTACAGCACATACCTAAACATCAAATGTTTATATTACTTGTAAAATACCAATATATTATTTTGCATTTTCTAGTACATTTCTATATTTTGCTTCAGTCACAGATCGTTGGTGGGGTAACAAGCGTCTTGACTACGCCCTCTATTGTCCCGATGCGTTACACAACTTTCCCGTTGCATCATTGCCACATCTGTTCCACGCAAGTTATTGGGAATCAACTGACGTCATAGCATTTATGTTGCGACAGGTTGTCCGTCAGGATGCTATTGACTCCCAGGGGGAGGAGCCTAGCCAGGAAGTATCTTTGTTTACCCCCACCCAGCCACGAGAAAAATGGCTGCGAAGAAGGACCACAATTAAACTCAGGAATGTTGCCCCGAATCACAGAGCAAATGATGTAATTGTACTAGAGGATAAGCCACAGGTACACTTTTTGTACAGTGTACTTTGATTTATGTATTGTACATATGTGATTTCATGACAATGCTTTCATTCTGTAGTGTATGGTCATAAGAAATATCTGTTAATGTGTTTGTAATAATACGGAGTAAGACTGGAGTCTTGAGTAAGTCTTGAGTTTAGAGGCTATTGCATTTAAACACCTCTAAAATTCTAAACTCCGAAAATTGGCTAAATGGAATTTACTGAAACTTATATTTTCTCTGGAGTAGGATCTTTCTTCATCTACTGCAAATATTGAAACACATTTGAAATGAAGAAAATATATCCATGACATGAACAATAAAATCTTTGCTTCATTGAGTTTATGGCAGAGTTTAATGTATTTGTTAAAGATTAGATTTAATATTACCTTTTTCGTAGATATTAGTAGCAAGGTTCAAGTACGGACCCTTGGATATGATATCATAAACTGGGAAGAAAGTCAGATTATTAGAATGTCGATCTTTTCCACAGGTATTAGTAGCAAGGTTCATGTATGGACCCTTAGACATGGTGTCATTAACTGGAGAGAAAGTCGACATCCACATAGTGACACGGCCACCAGATGGCGACTGGGTATATTTCGGCACAGAGGTGACAGATAGTAATGGCAGAGTTACATTTACCGTCCCTGTAGACAAACAGTTACCCCAGGGGATGTACCCTGTCAAGATTGTCGTTAGGTAGGTGCTTGAAAATGAATAAGCATAGAAATATGATATAAGGTCTAATTTCATTCCTTGAAAGCCCATGATATGGAAAACCCTGGTTCAGTAAATTATTCGCTAAATCCAGGGAAGTCATATTTCTACTATTGTGTCTTAATTTGATTGAAACTGATATAACGAAATGTATGTTTTCTTGTGTACATGTATTTACTGAGATGTAATCTTTCATAATTGTATATTCATTTTTCATGTCAAGTTATCTGGATAGATGTCTCTTATTATTTTTCAAGGGGAGACCACACTTCAGTTGACTTCTACATGTCAGTGCTGCCACCTTTAACTGAAAGTGTAGTATTCAGTATAGATGGCTCTTTCACTGCAAGTGTCTCCATTATGGGCAAAGATCCCAAAGTGAGAGCTGGGGCAGTGGATATTGTCAGGTATGTATTAATCATATTCAATATTCAAAGGATAAAGGAAGAAATGTATTTCCCATCTTGATTCACAAGGTTCAAGGCCATGAATCGCCAAACAAACAAATTGGGACAAACAGATTGGCCTTTTATGCCTCGGGGACCGAGTGGAAAGCGACGATGGGTATTTGTAAGATGTGTATATAATAGGATATGGGATTCAGAAACTATATGAGAAAATATCAAGTGAAAATATACTACATTTTGAAGTTGCTTATAATTCTTTGCCATATCCAAAGCCTGGATTTGTTCATCTACAGTAATTTCAAGACACCATTAATGTTCTTTCCTTGCAGACATTGGCAGGAACTAGGGTTTCTCATCATCTATATAACAGCTAGGCCAGACATGCAACACAAGCGTGTTGTAGCGTGGCTTGCACAGCACAACTTCCCGCATGGTATGGTCAGCTTCATGGATGGTCTATCAGTGGATCCTCTAAGGCAGAAGGCTGACTACATGAAGTCTCTCATAAAGGAGGTATTGTGAACTGCTATATTAGCATTAAATAATGTTGATTTGTGTACTTTAAAAAGGGGCATACACAAGTAGAAGGATTCACATATTTTAAAAGAAATGATACAATCCAAAGATAACATACCCAATGGGTCCCTTTTTTATCCCCAAAATTTGCTATTTAGATAAGGTACTTATTTTACATACAGTAAAACTTGTCTTAATGAACACTTCTCTCTAATGAACACATGTGTTTAGTGAACATCACTTCAACACACATTTTACATTGACTCTTATATAAACTCCCTCTCTGTAGTGCACCTACATACAGTGAAACCTCTTGGTGGCTCCATAGGTGTTCATTATATACAGGTTTTACTGTATTTGTACACATATATACACATTTCTCGCTGAGTCCCATATTAGAGATTTTTTGTTGGGTTGTTATTATTCAATGTAGCAATTAATAGTTTTGCACATGCACATTTCAGGCAAAGATTACAATTCATGCTGCGTATGGTTCAAGTAAAGATATCTCAGTGTACCAAGCTGTCGGAATGAACCCTAGTGGAATATACATTGTAGGGAAAGCATCAAAGAAACAGTATACACAGGCACAAGTATGAGACATGGTTTTCTGTTCATTGTTTTATCATGTCACCGACGGATGTCATGACCTATTGTTATAGTCTCCAACTTTTTTGTTGTCAGTGGTTGTTGTTCAGTAATCAGTGTCTGTAATAAATGGCAGGTTGTGTCATTTTGCATATTGATGCCTTATATAACTGTTGTAATCATCTTGTAGCATTGAATTGACATATGGCAATGATCAACATGTTAAATAGAAATTAATATTTTCAAGTTATGAATCACTATGAATATATATTTGTTATTGACCATTTGTATTGTAGGTTTTGGAGGATGGTTATGCTGCACACTTGGAACAACTCACATCACATGGAGGATCAAGAGCGGCTGTTGGAAATGCTAGACTTTTCCTTCGTAAACAATGCTTTGGACTTCCGGGACAAAAACGTAAAAGCATAAGGAAACGATCTGTCAAAAAGACAACATCGTTACCACCAGGTGGTGGACCTATACACTCAATGTCACGTGAACAATCATTATCGACAAAACGTCGTAAATCACCAAGCCGGCCACCATCATATAGCGAATGTGTGACAACTCCTTCTATAGGTGTCTCTGAGAGTGGGAAAACATATTTGGACGTTGGGACAGCAGGAACGGGGAAAGCATCACGCTCTCGTGGAAGCTCACCTCGTCCTAAATTGTCGCCATTTAGATATGAATCACAGGTTTGATGCGAGAAATTACACTGGAAGAAAAGACAGAAGGAGCAGATTTTCAGGTTTAATATGCATATTGGTAGACCTTTTTCTACCAGAGTTGGTTATCCTATTAATGGGAAGGTTATTTTACATGGATGTGGATCATGAATTATCTGTTCTTAAAGTGTTTTTTCTGGCATCGAACCTGGGATTCTCATCTACATGGGACAAACAGATACATGTATATAACTTGAGGATCATGTCAAATCTTGTTTTTGTAATATACTGTGTGCATCTGATAACACGAATGTACAGGCAATGTTAGTGGTGGGACTCACACTTAAAACCCAAATTGGGTCAGAACGCATAAAAAAACTTTGGAATTTAGAAATTTTTTTACTTCTGATAGTCATCGAGTCTGCTCACGACGAATTAGCCAATTCTCCCTTTCGCGGTTCGCTCTTTGAATCAGAACGTTCGCAAATATGTTCTGAAAAAGCACTCAAAAAGGACAAAATTTGATTGGTCAATATTTTCCCACTATGCATTTCGCGTAGCTATTTGCGTGACCTGAAAGTTCTAAATCAAACTAATTACGCAATTTTGTTTTTACACCCGCACGCTAAATAAAAAAATGACACCATCGGAAGTATTCTTCTTTGTCATTGCTTTAATAGTCAGTATACCGAGTTTAATCAATAAAAGATTGTACAATGAACAACAAAATTCGGAAACGAGAACTATAGATTTGCTTTCGGACCACTGAACAGCTTGACCTAGATGATAGCGACGCGTCTTCTTTGGTCTACTGCTCAGTTGTTTGTGGGTTTTCAACGTAACTCTATAATGTAATTTGAAGATGAATACTTTTATTCAGTTGTTGCATCGATGTTGCAGTTTGTAGTGCGGTAAGACTGGCATGAAAGTATTGAAAGTCGAATGGAATTGTTTTTTCCAATATGGCGACTAGTCAACTGATCACGTGACCTTCTCTTTTGGAATATTTTCTCACTTTTCAATCGTCGTTTTCACCACGCTATGAATCAATACAATGAAAAAAATAGCTGTTATATTAAGATTAATAAGAGATCAATCATTTCTAAAAAGTTTTTCTGTACTCTCGTACGGGAATATGAATGAATATATTGTTTGAAAAATTGGTGTGAAAATCCCCATGTTAAACCTATGAGGGAATACAAGGAAGTATAAATTTGTTCCTCCACGAACTGCATCATGGGAAATATTTTAACCTTATAGGGAGAGATTTTCGCGTCTCCTCTTTTGAAGAGGGAACAACGATTTCGAGAATTCGAAGCAGTAACTCATTGGATGTCTTGGAGTCGATGTGTGTGTCAGCGAGTAATTAGCCTACCACTAGTTGTTGTTATACTTTAAAAGTATAATATATTATTAAGCATTTACATTGATGTAACTGTAAATGGATGTGTATGGTTCGCTACTTAAGTAGCTGTTTCAAGTAATGTTAAACATTTTCATGTCATGTATTGTATTAATGTCTGCATCGTGTACTTGTAAATACAAAAATGCATATTTGAAACAAATAAGAGACTAAGCCAGGTTATGTCATAATAAGTAAGAGGGTCAAACATCCATGTTGCAAGTTTTATGGGATTGACCCCTACCCTTGAGCCAGTACCATTTTAGTTTTGGATGGCTTTAGTATAAGTATGACATTTTTGACATTTGAGTAGCTGACCTTCATTGACTTTTATTGCATTTGGTACTCTTGTGTACATTAATGAACTGAAACGGTATGTTTGCTGGCCAAGGTGGTGGGTTGTTTTTATGTAGTTTATTTCATGAATTTTTGATGCACCTACTTGTCATGATGTCACTCCCACTATGTGTGTTATGTGTGTGTTATGCAGCATAATATTTCTGTTCTCTACCAAAATTATGAGACACTCTGTTATTTCCCAGGGTTAATTACTAAGCTAGTCATTTCATCAGAATTTAATGGAACACCCAGTAGTTAGCCAGGCTTGTTTTTATATAATAAGAGAGTCAAAGGAATACATTATGTTCTATAATTGCTAAAATAAACTGTTTGAAATGTACATGTACTGTAGCATTCACCAAGTTTTATAGATTTTATGAAATACCTAGGGTTTATTCCATGAAACATTCTCCAAACATTTACGCTATTTAGTTAAGAATTTATTAAGGTAGTATACCCCAGTGCATTTCCACCATTGAAGCATATATCTGCTAAATGGTGACATTTGGGGTTTATTTCCGCCATAGTACCACATACCATATATCCGCCATGATAAAAGTGACATGTAGATCTTATACTTATAAATATAGCCACCATTCTTAGGGTAATGTAGATCAACTACAGGGATTCAAGCTTTAACATGACATGTTTAAATGAGATTATTAGTTGCACTTGGAAACTTTGCATCAACTCTCACCCTCTTACACTAAAACCTATTTCATTGAAAAATTAGGGGGTTGGATACACAAAGGCTTGATTCGAGACAGGATATTTTAGAAATTAATCTAATATGTACTCTCATATCAAAATTGTACAAATGCAAAATTTAGACATTTGCTGTTTATGAAGGTGGTTCAAGTAAAATAGATGGAACAATTTTGCACATTTACGAGCCTCATCAAGGAGTCTCAACTTTTCTTACATGTACTTTAACAGCATTTTAGTGAAAATACACAAAAGAGCAGGGATAAAAATATGGTAAATCATTTTTTGCAAGCAGGGTTCCTTCCTTATACATTGATCGAATAAGTTAATCGTTCAGTATTTTTGTATATTCAAATTCAAAATATTTCTGTCATAAATATGAGAAATAGTGAATGCAAATTGAATTTGCAAATGTTTAAATTCTTAAAATGCCTCCACGTGTGTTGCCAAAGTTAATTATATAAATTAAAGATATACAGGGTGTCCAATAAATAAGGTAAAAGATATTGTTACTTTCTTAATATTGCACCAATGTTGATGAAATTTTCAGAGTTTGTAGTCCAAATCTTTTTACCTTTATTCTGTGAATTTAAAGGGTCTTCTATTTGATTGGCCAGAGTTGTGGTTGCTATAGCAACCGAAACAACAAAAAGGCGGGGCAACTTTTTTTACGTCACAACTTTCCAAAACATGTTTATTCTTCCTGATAACTTTGTTCATACTCCAAGGTCTATTACTACCACAAATACAATATAAAAACAGTCCTAAAGTCCCATTGTTATGAAAATAAGCTATTCAACATAATGTCCATCTCTAGCTATATACTTTTTATGCCTATTCACTCACTCTCTAAACACACTTTCAAACCCATTCTTGCCCATTTCCCGAAGTCTTGCTAAGACATGTGATCCAAGTTCACACACAGCTATGCTCACTAGTGAAATTATTAGGGCACTGGGACCCCTACTTGCACACCCTCCATATTCCCCAGACCGTGCACCCAATGACTTTTACTTATATGCAGAACTCAAGCGTGACTTGAGAGAAAATAAATTTGGAAGCACTGATAAACTCAGATCACATGTCTTAGCAAGACTTCAGGAAATGGGCAAGAATGGGTTTGAAAGTAGGTTTAGAGAGTTGGTGAATAGGCATAAGAAGTGTATACCTAGAGATATACATTATGTTGGATAGCTTATTTTCATAACAATGGGACTTTAGGACTGTTTTATATTGTATTTGTGGTAGTAATAGACCTGGGAGAATGAATAAAGCTATCAGAAAGAATAAATATGTTTTGGAAAGTTGTGACGTAAACAAAGTTGCCCCGCCTTTTTGTTGTTTCGGTTGCTATAGCAACCACAACTCTGGCCAATCAAATAGAAGACGCTTTAAATTCACAGAATAAAGGTAAAAAGGTTTGGACTACAAACTCTGAAAATTTCATCAAGATTGGTGCAATATTAAGAAAGTAACAATATCTTTCACCTTATTTATTGGACACCCTGTAAATTGCCTCCACCACATGTGTTGCCAAAGTTGATATAAATTGCAGTGGTCACACAATCAAAATATACTACTTTCTATAAGTAGGCATTTACATACATAATCATTTTTCTTATATAGTCTATACATGTATATGTGCCTACAATGTGTACAGTAATTAAAGTATATTATAGTATTATATTCTATATAACCAACATTGTACATTCTACCTATTTGACCTCTTTATATATACAGATATCCATGATTTACTATAGTACTTATATGTGTGTTTGGATTTTTCTTGTTAAGTTTAATATTGCTGTGCAATTCCAACAGGATAATATTTATTAATACTGAAGTGAAAATAACTCATAACTCTATTTAAAGGTGGCATATGATACACTGATGTTTGTGCTGCCATCTATTTACATATAAAGAAGTGAATTGTGTAAAACTGTAGTATGAGTTAGCTCGTATATAAATATATATATATTAGTATAAAGCAAACAGTACAGTGAGACCCATGTCCATGGAACACTTTATACCCTGGCTAATATTGTTCCAGTAGAGAGGTGTTCCTTACAGCGAGAAAGGCAGTGCTATAGGTTCTTTTAAAACTTATCCCGAGAGGAAAAAAATGTTCCTTACATAGTGTTCCCTAAGACAGGTTTTACTGTATGTATTTTGTTTAGTTTTGTAGAGTAATGTAAATGGGGAAAGGATATTCAAGAAAAGCATTTAAGCAAAATAATATGAAATTAGTCTGGCCTTTTAAATTATGAACTTCATTTATGCATACAGTATAAACTATAATGCCAACATTATGGCTTGCCGGACCACCTGAACTTCAGAGTTTTATAACTGATTTGTCACTGCTTGAGAGTCAATCAATGAAAAGAAATTGCCAGAACCTTTATCAGAACCTGACTGATTTGTAATATACATACACTTTGAGCAGTCAACCAGCAGCCACAAATAAGTTTTTACTTCAATATCTTCAAAACTTATTATTCATATGTACTTAAAAAATGTTTAACTCATTATCAAAATTTGAACTCCAGAAATTTTACTTAAAGTTTTAATCCAAAATCCAAAACAACAGAAATCTTACGTAAAGTTGTAATAATGTATAATGTAAAGAAAGTCTTATTATAGAAGACATCACTCTATGGATTCCTGCTATAAATTGACATTGTAGGTTATACTGTGTATATGCTTGGGTTGGTTAAGAAAGGTTTCATTATGTTATTAATACGTTTACCTTTCACTATTTTCACCATAAAGACAGACTTGTGCACTAGCATACATACAATTTAACTCATGCACTAGCATACATACAATTACACTCATGCACTAGCATACATACAATTAAACTCATACACTAGCATACATACAATTAAACTCATGCACTAGCATACATACAATTAAACTCATACACTAGCATACATACAATTAAACTCATGCACTAGCATACATACAATTAAACTCATGCACTAGCATACATACAATTAAACTCATACACTAGCATACATACAATTAAACTCATGCACTAGCATACATACAATTAAACTCATGCACTAGCATACATACAATTAAACTCATGCACTAGCATACATACAATTAAACTCATGCACTAGCATACATACAATTAAACTCATGCACTAGCATACATACAATTAAACTCATGCACTAGCATACATACAATTAAACTCATGCACTAGCATACACAGAATTAAACTCATGCACTAGCATACATACAATTAAACTCATGCACTAGCATACATACAATTAAACTCATGCACTAGCATACATACAATTAAACTCATGCACTAGCATACATACAATTAAACTCATACACTAGCATACATACAATTAAACTCATGCACTAGCATACATACAATTAAACTCATGCACTAGCATACATACAATTAAACTCATTCATTAGCATACATACAATTAAACTCATGCACTAGCATACATACAATTAAACTGATGTATTAGCATGCATACAATTAAACTCATGCATTAGCATACATACAATTAAACCCATGCATTAGCATACATACAATTAAACTCATACACTAGCATACATACAATTAAACTCATGCCCTAGCATACATACAATTAAATTCATGCACTAGCATACATACAATTAAACTCATTCATTAGCATACATACAATTAAACTGATGTACTAGCATACATACAATTAAACTGATGTACTAGCATACATACAATTAAACTCATGCACTAGCATACATACAATTAAACTCATGCACTAGCATACATACAATTAAACTAATTCATTAGCATACATACAATTAAACTCATGCACTAGCATACATACAATTAAACTCATGCACTAGCATACATACAATTAAACTCATGCACTAGCATACATACAATTAAATTCATGCACTAGCATACATACAATTAAACTCATGCACTAGCATACATACAATTAAACTCATGCACTAGCATACATACAATTAAACTCATGCACTAGCATACATACAATTAAACTCATGCACTAGCATACATACAATTAAACTCATGCGCTAGCATACATACAATTAAACTCATGCACTAGCATACATACAATTAAACTGATGTATTAGCATGCATACAATTAAACTCATGCATTAGCATACATACAATTAAACCCATGCATTAGCATACATACAATTAAACTCATACACTAGCATACATACAATTAAACTCATGCCCTAGCATACATACAATTAAATTCATGCACTAGCATACATACAATTAAACTCATTCATTAGCATACATACAATTAAACTGATGTACTAGCATACATACAATTAAACTGATGTACTAGCATACATACAATTAAACTCATGCACTAGCATACATACAATTAAACTCATGCACTAGCATACATACAATTAAACTAATTCATTAGCATACATACAATTAAACTCATGCACTAGCATACATACAATTAAACTCATGCACTAGCATACATACAATTAAACTCATGCACTAGCATACATACAATTAAATTCATGCACTAGCATACATACAATTAAACTCATGCACTAGCATACATACAATTAAACTCATGCACTAGCATACATACAATTAAACTCATGCACTAGCATACATACAATTAAACTCATGCACTAGCATACATACAATTAAACTCATGCGCTAGCATACATACAATTAAACTCATGCACTAGCATACATACAATTAAACTCATGCACTGGCATACATACAATTAAACTCATGCACTAGCATACATACAATTAAACTCATACACTAGCATACATACAATTAAACTCATGCACTAGCATACATACAATTAAACTCATGCACTAGCATACATACAATTAAACTCATACACTAGCATACATACAATTAAACTCATACACTAGCATACATACAATTACACTCATGCACTAGCATACATACAATTAAACTCATGCACTAGCATACTTACAATTGTGTTTTAATGTACATGTATTGTACCAATACAAGTTGTTTGTCAGATCTGTTGAATAAATGAGTAGAATATTTAATTTATCAATCATAAATAGTTTATTCTATATTATTATTGCAATTCTAGATACATCCATTATCTCCAGGAAAATATACAATGGTTATAAAGTTCATTAGCATCTCACAACTGAGGGATAATCACCCAATCAGCATGCGTTTCAATTGTCACCAAAAGGCAATCATTTATTTATATTGGAATGGAGACATGATTTTTTCTTAAAAGGAAAAAGACTCACCAAGGGACTAAAGATATGGATTAGGATGACCAAATGAGCTGAAACTAGCGGATAGTGTGACTTATCTCTATTTAGAAATAACATGGGCAACACTAATCTTAGATGAATTCACTTTTCATGTATTCGATACATTAAAATAAATTATAGTCGTCATTCATTATACATTGTAAATAAAGATAATGGTTTTAACTAAAATGCATACGTTTCTTCATGATCAGAAAATACATCCAAGATATCATTTCCTTAAATCTTATGCTCTTCTACCTTGGACAAACTTTGTTATATATGGAACTTATAATTTTGGAAGAGCAATTCACATTTAATTGAAAAATTATTGAAAAGTGGGGGGAAGATACATCATATTTTGAGTATCAATTTGGGCTAATGTTATTGCAGAAAATATACCGTAACATTCTTATATCAAACCAGCCGCCTTTTAATAGGAGATTATGAAAAAATTAATATCATTAGAACTATAACGAATACTTAAGCACTTAGCACCATCATTCAAGAAATGTCATCAATTATTTCCGAACTGATAAAGACAACGCTCGTTTAGCGGACGCTGATGTAACTACAGCATGTAAAGAATCCCCTCTGCTTTGCGGGTGTCCTCTACTTTGCGGGTGTCCTCTACTTTGCGGATGTCCTCTACTTACAGGGTGTAACATATCTCCTCTACTGTTTGTGCGCACTGACAAATACATAGTGTCGCCCCTACTACCAGAACGCCTCTGTGGATCTGTAGTGTCTTGAATATTTATGTCCAGATTCAAATGGTTATGGACAAAATGTGTAGCATTGTGTTTCTTATAACTGTCGTCCATTGGGGGTAAAATCGAGGACTTGTGTTTCTCTTGTCTTATTCCTGATTTGGCGCGAATAGCACTCTTCTCGCGTTCACGCTCTTCAGTCATTTGCACAAGCGTCTCGAGGAACGCGTCTTCTATATCATTTTTGGATTTATCCTGATCCGTAGTAACTTCCACAGGTCTTGTATGGTCAATACGCGGTAAAGGACGCTTTTGTGTTTTTTGGTCATTCGCGGCTGCTTTCATTTTCATCATTTCTCGATGTTTTTTCCGCATTTCTGGTGGTAAATTTTGTGTTATTGAACGAGTACATCTCTGGGATACAAAATTTCCTCTCCTATGTTCGCCTTTATTTTGTTTCTTTGTTCCTGTCCCGCCTATCGCCGCTGTCTTAGATTTGGGGTCAGGGACGGTGTACTTGAATTTGTCACTCAACATATTATTTTTACGTTCAACCTTCGCTTTCCATCTCCCTACACAGTTCTTCATTAGTAGTTCGTTTTGCTTCGTTTTTTCTCGTCGTAGAGTGTTCACGATCGTCGCTAAATCATACAGTTTTTCTGGGGGAGGTAGGAGGTCTATTGTTTCCTTAGATGACACTGGCTTGACATGCTGTTCAATTTCAGCTGCAGTTGTAACATTGTCATTTTTGTTACTCTCTATGATATCCCGTTCAAATTGAGTGAGTAATCCCTCAGTGGCGAGTCTTTCAAAGCTAGGTAGAGTTGGAGCTCGTTCCTTAAGTTTCATTTCAGTTAATCGAGCTTCCAGGGGCTTGCTGGCCATCTGTTCCATTAAGTTCTCGAACTGTTTTTCTATATTGTTACCATTCTCTTTTTCGATTGTCAACTTTGTTGTCTTCCCCGTCATCTTGTCGAGTGTTTTTGTGTAGCGCTCCCACGTTGCGAACATACTGAAGAAAAGGAAAAAAATCCATATGAGATACAAGTTAGAAAACGCAAATGAGAACAAGAGACAAAAATCTAATTTGCAAAAAATTGAAAATGTAGTTTGCAAAACTAAATGTATATAGATAAGATAACATACAAAGAAATACCGACAGAGTGATTAAGTCATATATTTTGAATAATATGTTCATCAATTTAATACCTTATTTCAATTGAATTAAATCATTGATTTTGATATGGATCTTCATTTACCAAGAATGGAGAATTTATCACCCTCTTGCAAGATCACTTATTCATGTTTCAAATTGTTAGACAAATCCACATTGCAAAAACTCAAGGGTACATACCGCTGGAATTTGGCCACGGCAATTCTTTTCTCAGCATCATAGGCTGTCTTGTATTCCGCCTTGCACTTCCCATATGCTTCTAGCCGATGCTTCAACTTGGTCCCCTCGAATCTGCTATTCCTGTAGAGGCAGTGTCCGGTCTTCGACTTCGAAATACTAATGGCGGATCGCATAGCACGGATTAGAGACATCATTTTGGGCTTTGTCATATCGTCATCGATTGAATAGAGATTCTCTACGCACGAATCGCTCATAGTCATCTTGGACGGATTAGCGAAGATCTTTTCAATAATGTGTTTCTTTGAGATTTTTATGTGATTTAACCCACCGTGTCCCAGTCTTTGATTCCGTTGTTGTTTTATCTGGATTTGACCACTCTTCGACACTATAGGGTTAACATGGCCGTGTAAATCATTGTGAAAATATTCTTGATGGTTTCTTAGGAACCCAAAAGATTAGTTCACTGGTCCTGAAAGAGTGAAGATCATGTAAATAAAAGATGAGATTAGCACATGAATAAATATTTGATCTCTTTTATAACTTTTTCAATATGTTAACTAACCCAGAGGAATATTGCGAATTAGTGGCACTAGAATTGCAATGAAAGTATTACAAAAGCCTTTTCAATTTCCATAAAATTCTTGATATTGTCAAAACTCATGAAAACTTAATTCAGCGTGGGAATAAACTGACGATCGATTGATTAACTTCAAGTCTATTAAACCATTCAACTCTATATAGCAAATTTATCTTCAAAACCTTGAATGATTAGTGAGCTGGGTTGAGCTGAGTTGGGTTGTATACAACAGTCGAGTGTTGACGCTAGCAACGAGTGCATCGAGTGGTATCGTTTACCTATGATTGGTTTTCATCGGTTTCATCGTGGTCATTTTCACATTTGGTAAAATCTCAAAAGAAATATAATAGCATTCAACTGATAACGAGAAAATACGGTGAAACCTGTACATTCGAACACTTGGCTAATCCGAACACCTCCTATTCTGATGACCTTTTCGGTCCCATTTTTCCCCCTCCCTTTTATGTTAAAAAACGCTGAAATGTGAACACGTCCGAATTCGAACACTGAACTGTCATACGAGGCCCGATCAGAAAGTAAGTAACCAACTGCTCTCATTTTTTCATACTTCATTCAATCACATTGAAATTTTCACAGATGATGTAGAAAATATTAACCTATTAAAGAAGACCAAGGACAATGGGTTAGCGTCAATGCCATTGTTATGGCTGTTGCTATGGTGATGATTGTTTTGGGTAGGTGGGGCACCCTTTTGCAAGCGGCTTTGGAAGATGGTTTGTAGAGTTTTTTACATGCTGTATTCCTCCAAATGACCTAACTTTTTTATGCTAGACTGAATAATTTGTTTTATGTATTATTACAATGGTATCTATGCTCCATTGTCTCATTTATAAGTCATCGACACAAAGATATCAAGGGTATATCTGTCATAATGATGGTCATGATTCAGTCACTGTTTCAATCCAGTCAAATGTTGTTGAAGTGGGATTTTACTGGCATGATGACAATGGTCCACCTCCACAAAGCCAACATTACCAAAGATACAGTAGATTAAGCTTTTTTCATGGCCACACAACTACCCCAGGTTCACTATTCCCCAGACCTGGCCCCACGTGACTAAATTCTTTCCAAATGCAAAGATGTTGTTACGGAGAGTCCGTTTGGACAGCCATAAGGCCATCAATGAAGCTTTCAATGGCAGTTTACAGTCATTTAATGGTGCAATGTTGCATTTCTTTAAGGAGGGAGTGAAACATTACCTCAACTGCATTGACTTTGATGGTGATTAATTTGAAGGACTATGTGTTAAAATGTAGTCTTACATTTGAATTTGATATATTTGGAGGTATAACAACATGTAGAAAAACTCTACAAATTATCTTCAAACGCCACTTAAAACAGGGTGCCCCGCCTACCCAAAACAATTGTCACCATAGCAACAGCAATAACAATGGAATTGACGCTAACCCATTGTCCTTGGTCTTCTTTAATAGGTTAATATTTTCTACATCATATGTGAAAATTTCAATATGATTGAATAAAGTATGAAGAAATAAGAGCAGTTGGTTACTTACTTTCTGATCGGGCCTCGTATTTGAAAATATTGCATGTTTCTTAAAAATTTGCTCAATATTACATTTCTTCAAAATCCAGAATATTGCAGTTGCGAATGCAAAAACATCGAAATGTGAACACATCCTAATCCGTACGCTTTTAGCTGGCCCCAATGGCGTTCGGATTAGATACGTTTCACTGGATTTAGATTATAGAAAATACTATTTTTGGTGAAGTGATCGCAATAGTTCAACAAATGAAAGCCTCAAAGTCCGTCTGTTAGTTTAAAATTAATGACGCATTTTGTCTTAAAGGTTCCAATGTATCATTGGAAAGGTGAGCGTGTCAGCTTTAAGGATCTGAATCGTCTTAATTTGTCTAATTAACCATTTCATCACTAGTAGATTAATAGTTATAGTTTATAGTTATAGTTTATTTCATAATATAACAATGTAAAGTACAAAACGTGTGCACTCGACACCCTTAGTAATTGGGCGTATCAGTGCTTATTTCAAAATGTGTTGCAGAGCAACCAAAATTACATATAATATAACATATAACAATACAGATACAATTAATAGATACAATACAGAAACTTTGAAGTCTTGAGAGAAATAATTAAATAAACAAAATGTGATTTTATGTAATGTTTTCATTCATCTTTTCCAAAAGGTCCTTTTTAATGTTATGTTTAAAAGAATTCAAAGTTTTACATGTTCGAAGTACTATTGGCAAAGCATTCCATAAAATGGCACCAGAATATGCCACTGACCTTTTTGTCAATTCAGTTTTTATTTTACAGGGGTGTATATTGTGGAACTGTCTAGTAATACGATTTCCAACATTGTGATTATATATGTATGTAAAGTAGTTTTTGAAAAGATATGCAGGAAAATTTGATGGTTCTTTAACACAATTATACATAAATTTTGATTTCTCTAACTTGTGAATGTCAAAAATTGTTAAGATTTTCAATTCCCTAAATAGGGGTGCACTAGTTTGTTGGTAATCTGCATTACATATCAGTCTTACAATTTTTTTCTGGAGATTAAGTAATGGTGTTAATAATGATTTATTGGCATTACCCCATATGATATTGCAATAAGAAATATGTGAGTAAACAAGTGAATAGTAAATGTCTAGCAATGCATGTCTTGATAATCTATTTCTTACTTTAAAAAGAATGCCTATTATTTTTGAAACTTTTGAAACAATGTATTCAGTATGCCTATTCCATTTCAGATTTGCATCGATGATTACGCCAAGAAAATTTATATAGTCAACTCTTTCAATTTGGTTATCACCAATATATACCTTGTAGTGATGGTAATTTATATTATTAAGTCTTGATTTAGTAAATAACATATATTTAGTTTTCTCTATATTGAGTGAAAGCTTGTTATTTTTGAACCAATTGATTATACTTTTTATTTCAGTATTTGCCCTCAAGTAAAGATTGTCTAAGTTGTCATCTTCTAGGGAAATATTTGTGTCATCTGCAAAAATTACTAATTTTATCATATTGGAAACATTAAATATATCATTTATATACAAAGTGAAAAGGACTGGTCCTAAAACAGACCCTTGAGGGACGCCACAGTGTAAAAAATGTTCGTCATCGGAATATGAGCCTGATATGAAAGTTTTCAATGGTCGATTCTTTAAGTAACTTTTAAACCAATTTAACACTACTCCACGAAAGCCTAAAAGTTCAAGTTTATTTAATAATATCTTATGATCAATCGTATCGAAAGCTTTTGAGAGGTCCAAATACAATCCTAAAATATGTTTATTATTATCCATTGAAAACCGAATTTGTTCCAGAAAAGTTAAGAGAGCCATGTATGTTGAGTTGTTTTCTTTGAATCCAAATTGTTTTTCATTCATTAACTTATTATTTTTGATGAATTTAGAAATTCTAGAGTGCATTACTTTTTCAAGAAGTTTGGAAAACACACTTAATAAGGAAATTGGTCTATAATTTTCAAATTTTGATTGATCACCCTTTTTGAAAAGTGCTATTAATTTGGTTATTTTCATTTTTTCTGGAAATACTCCTGTTTGTAGGGAAAGGTTTGCTATATGAGTGAATGGTGTCACAAGATTGTACCTTGCATGTTTGATAACTATCGGTTTTATATCATCAAATCCTGGAGCTTTATCATTGAGTCTTTTCATAAGTGTTAAAATTTCATCTTCAATTACAGGTTCTAAAAATAAAGAAAGGGGATTTCTTGTAATATGCTCAAGTGGTGATCCAGTTGAAGTTATTGTAGATGCTAGTTTTGGTCCCACATCTGAGAAATAGGAAGTAAATTTATTAGCAATGATTCTTTTATCTTTGGTAGGTTGGTTATTTATATTCATAATATAGTCAGTAGAGTCACATTTTTTCCTGTGAAGAATATTGTTAATCAGATTCCACGTCTGTTTGATGTTACCCTTTGTTTCATTGAATTTAGTCACATAATATCTATTTTCAGAAGATCGAATGAGATGATTAAGCTTATTTTTATAGCTTTTGTATTTTTCAAGGTTTTCTATAGACTGATATTTCATGTATGATCGATAAAGCTTATTTTTCATTTTGCAGGATGTAATCAGACCAGTGGTTAACCATGGTTTACTTGAATTAGTATATACTTTTATAGTTTTAACGTGTAAAGGAAAGCATTTATTATATAGGTCAGAAATCATATTTTCAAATAATTGGTATGCATTATTTACATCTTGTTCTGCTAAAATTTCATTCCAATTTATACTTGAAAGTTTACTGTTAAAATTAATAATTGCTTTATCATTGATTTTGCGAAATTTGAATGTTTTTTCTTCCATTTTACAAGTTGCATGTTTTGTGGTTGAAAAAATGGCAAAGTGATCAGCTATTTCATGATAAATGAGTCCAGAATTCTTAATTTCATTTGAATTGGTAAATATATTATCAATAAGTGTGGCAGTTTGAGTGGTAACTCTTGTAGCTTTATAAATAAGAGGATAGAATGAAGATGCAAATAAATTATTTAGGAATTGTCTTGTTGGAGAATGGAATTCAGTTTTAAAAAGATCAATATTAAGGTCACCCATGATGAAAACAGTCTTATTTTCCATTGTTAAACGTGAAAGCAGTTGATCAAAATTTGTAATAAATTCATTTATGTTAACATTTGGTGGTTTATACATTGTAAGGATGATGATATTTTTGGAATCAGTTTTAGGAATTTCAATTGCGAGTGTTTCACAATTAATGTTGTTTAAATTAAGATCATTGCGTTTTATGTATTCGATCCCTTTAAGAATGTAAATAGCTACACCCCCACCAACATTATCAGATCGTGAGCAAAATTCGCTGTTATAATCATCTAAAGTATACAAATGTTCATAGTCTTTTTTCAGCCATGTTTCAGACATTTCTATTACTGAGATCTTGTCATGTATCATTTCAATTAAACCATGTAATTTCCATTCATTTTTCGGTAAACTCCTAATATTAATATGCATCATAGATAAATCTGTATCACCCTTCAAATCATATGATAATTGATCAGTATTGACATATTTACATTTATTAATTAAACTATTTATTAAGGTATCTTCTTCAATCATGTCTTCCTCCTGGTCTTCATTAAATAATAAAGGATTAAATGTTAAATTTTCAAAGTGGTTATTGACATTAAAACCTGGTACTAAATCAAAAAACTCTACGGGTGTTGTATTAAACAATGGAAAAATTTGCCATATATCATCTGGGCTTTTATCCATTGTCTAGTTGTAAAAAGGTAAGTTCTAACACAATCTGATGAATGAATAATTTGTTTGTACGTTTATGGTTACTCTTAGTAAAATGCTTTAAAATATACAATGATGAAGTTATAACTATTTTACATGTTACAGCAGTGAGTCGGTCGGAAACCAAGATAAACATAGCAGCTATTTGGATGTCTACAGCACCCAAAATTTACTAAGAAAAAAATAACTCTGTATTTACAACAGTTAGATATATTTATGCAATGTTTGTTATGTGTACTGGTCACAGTCAACTATCCAGAAAAACAAGAAAACACATATGCTGTATAATGTCCTCTCAATCTCTTTGAAAGGATAGAAAAAACATTAGAAAAATATCAACTGATTGTCCATTCTGTGTCAAATGTAGTTTGACAGTGAATATCAGCTGGTAGCTAGAATGTTATAACACTAATACCCTGACCTATCCCTCTAAAAATAGAAATCATAAAAGGAAATAACAACAGGCTGAATATGAAGTGAACAGAATTCTATTCAATTGGACTGAAAAATTGTAGTCTACTTTTGAAATGTTAAACAGGGATTGATCATTTTGTTCAACCTGAGTCTAAATAAGTGATTTCTATATCTAATGAGGGGGGGGGGGTAATAGGCATTTCTACTCTATTTCAGATAAATGTGATTAACTTAATTGATTTAGTGAATCACAATTTTCTGAATATATAATTTTCTGAAATATTTTCGAAGAACCCGTAAAGCAATCATTTCAAACTACTGGTTTTTTAAAATGATTCTATTCAATGATTTATGAAATAATTTCAATCTCCCGGTATATTAAAAATTATTCTAGTCAATGCAGGATAAACATATTTAGGAAGCCATGTAGGGTCTTCTAGTTTACATATTTTCAGTCAATCCGTCATCTTGCTTCATGAAGCCTCGGACCTATCCTCATAGTAGTAGTGAACGTAGTGATTGAGCATGGGAACCGACGATGTCAATCCGTTTGAAGGATTGATTTCATTACAGGAATGCCACAGCACTGTTGCTCTAACAAACTGTACATTTTCCATTTACCATTGATTTCCACGTTTTGAATGTGTTCTCAAGTCTCGTGCTTGGCTACTCACACAGATGAAGCCTACTGATAAAAATTTAAATACCTAAATTAATTAATTTAAAGTAAAGCTGGAAAATCTATCTCGCTATTGTGCACCGAAAGTTCAATGACATATCCTTTGGTACTCTGGGTAAAACATTTTCTAAAAGCACCTGAATCTTTGGTAGTTAAAATAAATGAAAAGAAGTACGGTTTTGGAAATATCTTTTAGAGTTTAGTACAAACACTTTATTGAACTTATTCAGAAATTATAACTTCAATACCGGTGTAAAATGGTAGGTAGTCCTATCAAATTTTGGTCCTACTCTCTATTGATTTATATGGTGACCTAATTACAATTATTTTCCTTATTATTTATACACAGTCGGGACAGGGCCGCAAGGAAAGGGGACCATAATTTCTTTTACACCGGAGTGACATTTACTGAAACGACATCATCCCCTTGATTCTCGATCGATTGCTCAACTATTATCCTAATCGTCATTAGAGCAAGACATGTGTGTTCAAACGAAAAAAATATATGCGGTTCTGAATATTAGTTAGACCTTTTCCCGATGCCCACAGAAATAAAGTGTTGAAGCTTTTTTGAATATGCAAAATCAGGCTCATACCTATAACCATGCGTATAACCATGGCAACAACACTTACACGTTTCAACGCAATAAATAAATCCTGTTGTATTTTCCATAAAACATATCCATCTGGAATTTTCATAGAGTTATTAAAGATTAAACTGGTGAACGAAATGTTATAGTTCCATTGCTGACTGCAATCGTAACTTACAAGTAAATGATGAAGAACACCCAAACAACCTCGTATTATCAAAGAGATTCGTAAAAGTCAGGGACAATGCCGATCCATTTGACATTGAAATATCGTCCAAAATTAGAAACCGTTCAATTCATACTATAGTAAAAATTGTAAAGTAAAATAATATTGATTGTAATTCTTGGGTAACGCTATTAACAACTGATTCAAAACCAAAAATGAAACGATCTTGTAAAAATAGTTTGGTTTAGAGATTACAGTTCCCTTTGATACGCTTTATATTAGTGACCCCGCGAGTAGCAATTTCATTTATATTTTCCAAGGTTATGCCACAAAGAAACACTAATGGAAAGCTTACCTTAAAGTGCATGTTAACTCATATTCCAGATATTTATTTATATTACGTGCAATTAATGGCATAGCATTCCTTTATCTTATATTTTATGCCCAGCCTACGCTTTAAACTATTCACGGAGAACAATAGTTAGTAATATTTTAGCAAATGATTTTGTCGAATACATTTTTGTGTTTCCCTTTAGGTATATAAGCTTGGGTTTCCAGGTTTCTATGAAATCAAATTATGTCATGTCAATTCAAATCAAGCCATGCATTCATCAAACGTTTGCAAAATAAAGACATTGTTTAGGCTTTTGATTGTTGATCTCATGTAATATACAGAAACACAGATTTAAATTATATGTTAAAGTAAAAGTCAAAGATAGTTCATTATCACATTATGAGATCATACTTATCCAATGTAATAACTTGCCCACTTCATTACAAGATCAACTTCAACAATAGACAGCATAGGTAATCCGGCACCTTATAACCATATGAAATAAAAGATTATAAACGGTGCAAAGAATTCCGATCGTAATATGTTTTACTGAATATTGAAAAGTGCATTTATATTCAGGTTACGTTATTGGATTAGGATTTGTGGATTAGCAGAATTCTTCATTTTAAGTTAAAGTGCAGAATTAAGTAATACTGTCCCAGTAAATAATGCTCATTCCACATAATGGCGTCCTCATTCCTTATAATCATTTCGCACAATATCACCCTCATTCCTAATAATGACACCATCATTCCTTTTAATCATTTCGCACAATATCACCCTCATTCCTCATAATGACACCATCATTCCTTTTAATCATTTCGCACAATATCACCCTCATTCCTCATAATGACACCATCATTCCTTTTAATCATTTCGCACAATATCACCCTCATTCCTCATAATGACACCATCATTCCTTTTAATCATTTCGCACAATATCACCCTCATTCCTCATAATGACACCATCATTCCTTTTAATCATTTCGCACAATATCACCCTCATTCCTCATAATGACACCATCATTCCTTTTAATCATTTCGCACAATATCACCCTCATTCCTCATAATGACACCATCATTCCTTTTAATCATTTCGCACAATATCACCCTCATTCCTCATAATGACACCATCATTCCTTTTAATCATTTCGCACAATATCACCCTCATTCCTCATAATGACACCATCATTCCTTTTAATCATTTCGCACAATATCACCCTCATTCCTCATAATGACACCATCATTCCTTTTAATCATTTCGCACAATATCACCCTCATTCCTCATAATGACACCATCATTCCTTATAATCATTCCGCATAATGACACCCCGGTTCCTTATATTCATTCCACACAATACCACCCTCATTCCTGATGATGACACCATCATTCCTTATAATTGTAACGACCCTTGGGCACGCTCGTCGGGGAGCTGTAATGTACCGAGCCAGATACTAGACTCGAAAGTGAATGTGCTAAATTCAACGCCCCGTACGGGAATCGAACCCAGGACATCCCGCTCGTCAGACGCTCTACCCCTGAGCCATAAAGGCTAGCCACTACAGCTGAGATTGTAGTAGCGACTTGCTATCGAAGGTCATTACATAATCATTCCGCACAGTATTACCCTAATCCCAAATAATGACACTCTCATTCCTTATAATCATCCCGCATAATAACAACCTCATTTCTCATGATCATTCCGCACAATACCAACCATAATGACACCATTATTCCTCATAGTTTAGTTTAGTTTATTTCATATTATAGTGGTGGGTCTTACATACAATATATATCAGTAATACAGTGTAATACTTATAGGATATCCTATGATTTGAGGAATATCATTTTTATCTACGAGGTGATATTGATATCTGCACGAGAGAGCAAAGCGAACGAGTGCATATATCGATATCACCGAGTAGATTAAAGTGATATTCTGAAAAAAATCATAGATGTTCTTATTATCCTACATTAACAAGGAGTGTACTGAATGTATAATATCACTGCAAAATGAATTTCATGCCAAATAGAGTCAATCTGGCGGGAAATCAACAAGCGGAGTATATCGTTACGATATCCTCCGGTTATTCATTTTGCCAATAAATATCAAATTTATTTTTTAATGTTATTATACATTTAGTACACTAGGTGTAGGATAGAATAATTTACTTATTTTACTTTATCATAATAATTACTTTTTCATAACCTAAACCTAATTTGAAAAAAATACTATCTCATCTTTGTTCGAATATAAACAAGAGCTTGTTTAGAGCAATAATGACACTTAAAGGTTATACTGTTTTATTTATGCATCCCAGCTAGATTTTGCATTTCAGTTAAAATATCAATATAGCAATTACAGTCCAGCTGAACAGTAAAATGCATTAATGTGTTTTGTGCTCTGTTTGAAGGTATGCACAGCAGTCGACAAGAGATTAACATATAAACATGATAATCGCAGTTAGGAATGGTTTACTTAGTATCTACACTTAAACAACAATTGCGCATTGTACATACTTACTTCACCTACCTGGTAAAGTATGTATAGAAAACCAAAGGGCGGAATAACGAATACGTACAGACCAACAGTGATATTAGTTGACAGACATTAACAGTTACATCATGTCTGAATGGACAAGGGATGATGCTGAATTGCTTGATATGGCTCTCGATGATGATGGTAATATCGATGATGATGATGAGCAGGAGGATAATGGCGGGGATGAAGAGGTGGATAATCGTGCTCATAAGGACAATGATAATCACAATGACGATGACAATAACATTCAGCCAAAAGATAAGAATCTCAATAATCGGCAGAGCAAAGAAAGAAGGAAATACTTGATAACAAAGACGATTGTTCTTGGCTTAATCTGGATGACCGGGGTGAGGATTTATTCAAACAGGCTTTAGACAGTCATGTTATACAGCAGTCAATTAAAAGTTTAAGGTCAGGGTGCACTTTGATGAAAGTTCATGACCATGTGCTATTTTCAGATAAACATAACTCATTCCACACATCATCTACATCTTTCATTCTTGCACAAAAGATGCATTAGTGTACCTAGACTCTTAATTACTGAGATACGAGTAGGTATTTACTAGTTTCGCCACCAGGTGGCTGATTCGAGGGAAACAACATTGCAGGGTATTACAAAATTCCCTTAAACTTGAATATGCATCAGTTTTAGTGGCTCACTTTTCATAAATATCTTTATGTATCCGATAGTTATACAAATTAAAATATGTCCAGACAAGAAAATATTATCTGCCCAGCACAACAAAAGATATTTCACTTTTTGTGGCTTTACAACATGGGGTCTATGGGGAATCTCCCGACCTAGAAGTCTCATTTTCAAAGAAAATTAAATTTTCAAAGTTGTTAAACTCTTATCAAAACCACATTACTAAATGTAATTTTACATGTAGATTCCAAATATGACATCAGTTTGACTGAATTGTGATTTTTAATGACGTAAATCAAGATTATTTCTACTTGCATCTGGGATATTTAGGGTTGATAATTCTTCAGAATCTTTGAATAACTAGAATATTCAGTGGTTTACTTTTCAAAATTGCAAAAAATTCCAAAGTGCACCCTGGCCTTAAGTTAAAAGTCATTCAAATAGAATTTATGCAGCAGTAAATTGAAAGTCGAATTACAAAGTGATGCGCCGCACATTTTTAGATTGTTATATACGACTTGCTCCCTGAAGTCTCCATTTGATAGCATGTTAAAGCTAATGTTTGAATCTTTATTTTTTGTTTCCTTATTACACTTTTGTTTCTTAAAGAGAGAATCAGATATAGCGAGCAGGCTAAACAAAAAATTGTTTCAATTTTAGAATATTTTTGGCTCATGTCATTCCTTGTCATGTTTATCTAAAAATCACAAAAGTGCATACTTTATTCAAGGAAAACTAAAGATTTTTACAATAATGTATTATTTTTCTATAAGAATGGTTACCATTCTTATTATTTGGGAGAACTTAAACATTTTTCACCCATTTTTGCACTTTGAATCATTAATAACTTCACCAATTTATAACATATCATGAATCTTTTGAAAGATATTGTATTTGATATTGTAAGGAATAGATTGGTAGGTCAATTATACATGTTGCTTGTAATTTCGTCACCCCCTATAGATCAGATTCTGCCTTTAATAACAACATTTCGGAAAATAAACAAAAAAGTCTTTACATCCAATCCAGAAGGGGATTTCCATTTGCTAAACTTATGGAAGATGTGTATTTCTACAGGGGAGCTACTCAGGGCTGACAGTGGCGACAATTCCAGACTTAAAGTTAAGGGTTGGTTCGGACTATGAAGAGTTCTCACGGGCCCTGGCGGCAGCTGGTCTCGGTATCTTCGTTTCTGCACCATTAGGTGGTGTGCTTGCAGATAGGTGAGTCTTGGCCTTTTCATTTCTCCACCATTAGGTGGTGTGCTTGCAGATAGGTGAGTCTTGGCCTCTAGGTTGTGTGCTAGCAGATAGGTGAGTCTTAGCCTCTTCATTTCTGCACGATTAGGCGGTGGGCACGCAGATAGGTGAGTCTTGGACTCTTCATTTCTGCACCATTAGGCGGTTTGCATGCTGATAGGTGAGTCTTGGTGTCTTCATTTCTCCATCATTAGGCGGTGTGCTCGCAGATAGTTGAGTCTTGGCCTCTTCATTTCTGCACCATTAGGTGGTGTACTAGCAGATAGGTGAGTCTTAGTGTCTTCATTTCTGCACGATTAGGCGGTGGGCTTGCAGATAGGTGAGTCTTGGCCTCTTCATTTCTGCACCATTAGGTGGTGTACTAGCAGATAGGTGAGTCTTGGCCTCTTCATTTCTGCACGATTAGGCGGTGGGCTTGCAGATAGGTGAGTCTTGGACTCTTCATTTCTGCACCATTAGGTCACTGGCGGATTAGGGGGGGGGGGGCTGGGGGCCCGGCCCCCCCCCCCCCCTTGGGTGGGCCCAGAAAAAAAAAATTGGGCCCAAAAATTTTTTTGGGCCAAACAAGGCCTTCAGGCTCCAAAAAGTGGGCCTTTTTAGTCATTACTGGGCCTTTTAAGGCCTTATTTTTTAATTTCAGGCCAAATTTTGAAGAAAATGGGCCTAAAAATTTCAAAATCTGGGCCCACTTTAGGATTTTAGGGGCCCAAAATTTTTTTTTCTCTGACCTGAAATTTGGGTCCCCCCTTGTTGGTTCCTGGATCCGCCCCTGTAGGTGGTGTGCTTGCAGATATGTGAGTCTTGGCCTCTTCATTTCCGCACCATTAGAGGTGTACTAGCAAATAGATGAGAAAATTATCTTGCATGTTCTCTACCATTTTATAGTCCTGGATAGCCTCATTTTGATGTTATCTTTTTAAGAAAGCATAGCATCCCAATCTCATAAGGCCAAAATATTTTTTTGATTTATTTAATTTTATCTATTTTTATTTTATTCGGGTGATATAATTATTATCAAGCTTTACATTTCTCATTTACATCAATGTTCTCTCTTATATATCCCGTAATGGTTCCAATGAAGTTAAACCCAATGAAGTGCTATAATTTTTATGCTCAATGGTTGGAGAACCTTATTTGGCTAGGACTCAAAAATTTGTATAAAAAGATTTATAGTAGTTGCAAAACTCTAGGACGGTTTCAAAAAATTAACAAAAAAAATCGTTCTTTCTTTCAGAATTTATTTTCTTTATTGGATTTATATTGTAGATGGGTTCGAGGCCGGGATGCTCAGATTATTACATTTGTTGCACTTGCTGGTGTCTTCACAGTGGTCAGACCCTGGATTACCAATCTGTGGATGTTTGGGGTTTTTATGTGGTTGGATGGGTTTGTACTTGGAATATATTCTCCAGGTACGAATGGTTAATTTTGAGAGCTTCATATAATTATTTGGATAAATCGTTTCTAAAACAAAAAAGAAAAATTAACAAAAATTCCATATTTACGAGCAAAATTGTATCTCATTTCAACATTTTCTTGGTGACATTTCAGGGAAGAACAACATGTTAGACAAACTGTGGGGTTCTGGGATAGGACTGCCACGCCATCTAATGTCCGTCTGCTACCTAATAGGAACTGTCCTTGCTCCATTGATATGTCGGCCATTTTTCTTGATGCATGACGTCAGTGATGGTAGTGTCAATTGTAATGACTCGGATGACTCAATATGTCTTAACACTACAAATAAATGGTTAAATGATACACATTTTGCTAAGAGTGCAAATGTCGATGCTATCAATGCAACATTCCCAAACATTACGAATGACACAGAAAATGTAATTCCTAATGGTAACATTGCAGGGTATAGTAATGAGATAAGTTCTCCAATAGAGTACCCATATATGATTATAGTTTCGTGGACAATTATCCCTTTAGTGCTTTTAGGGATATTCTACTACCGTGATCCGACTTCAGGCCAGAAGTATTACACCCAAAATGGTGAAATAACCAATGGTGCCTTCAAGAAAGAAACCCCAACGTGGAAGTCCATATTCTCGCCAAAGACATGTGGACAAGGTAGTTCGGTATTCGGAATGGGAATTATATTTGTACTTTGTTTATATTACTTTGCTTTGGCCTTCAAAGGTAGGCCTTTCCATGAATTCATCATGGCGTATGCCGTGGATAAAATAGGAATGTCGAAGGCAGACGCTGCAGTGATTATGGTAGTCGGACGGTTAATCTCTATCGTAGCAGGGATTATATGGGGCACACTAACTCGTTTCATCCCCATACAAGTCTTGCTTTTCATTCAGATTTTCACGGAGCTGGCCATTGTCATCTACTTCAACTATGTAGAAATTCACACAAGTGCTGCCCTTTACGGCTTCATTGCTGGTATGAGTGTGTGCAGTGCGCCAAATTGGGCATCTGGTATAACATGGGGGCTCAGATATCTCGAGTTCTCATCTTTGGTATATACTTTCATTGAACTAAGTGCATCATCTGCGGGTATACTCTCCACATGGGCAACTGGCTATGTCCTGGAGTATGGTGGACATGAAGCAATGTTGAGGCTTCAGCTAGGAGGCAATGTAGTACTTTGTGTCGTGGTGATTATCATGCAAATAGTTGCCTCGTGTAAAGGAGAGAAATTTAAAAAAGCCGAGTCGTATGAAATGAAGGAGATGGGAGATCATTCTGATGCAAAGACGCCTTTACTGTTTTGTGAATAGATGGCGCCATTAGCTGACGAGGATATTTGAATAATGCACTTAATGCTATTCACCATGTATTCTTAAAACATAAAACAAATGTTAATGATAAATATACATTTTGGTGAACACAAAATTGTTGAAATCTCAACAATAGTCTGGTCTTAGTTAGTCAAAAATGTTATCTACAGCAAGCCGTCAAGGCGACGACGGTGAACTTCAAAGATTTTCAAAAATGAGAATTTTGAGACTTTGAAACTTCCAAACTGTTCCGAAGAAGTTGTTGTTTTTATTAATTCACTGGTACTTGTGCACTGTTATCATTACACTTGAGAAAAAGTGGCGTATAAAAATTTTGAAATGATTTTTTCACCCGTGAATAACCGCTGATCCAAAATACCTCAAAAAAATTAAAAACACTTCAAACAGTATCAAAATCAATTACCCAATACAAAAATGGGGATAAAAGAAGGAAACAGTGCACTTTTAAAATTAGGTTTTCTCTCTTTCAAATTGTAAGTGAGATTTCAAAAATCTAAAGCTCCTTTGATTTTGGAATGTTTCAGAATGTTTTAAAAAATTGTCCAGGGACCTTTGATTCCTTGATTATTGAGAAAGATGGTCCAAAATAAGTGAGTGGCATTTTTGTGTCACCCTGTACATAATGTTCAGTATAAAAGAATGTACAATATACGAAGATCAAACATGGTCGCAACTAGAAAATAGCAACTTAACGGAGTAACAGACCCCATCGAACAAAACGTTTCGAGCTCCTGTATTGCTAGGCATAAGCATATCAAATTTGAACCAAATCTGTCGACTAGTATTTGAGTCATCAAAGATTACATTTTTACAAAAAATGGCGGCCATTTTAAATTGAGTGGCCAATTCGGTGGAGTCACTTATAGGTGAATACATACGAAAAATAAACTTTTGTATAACAATTCAAGAATACATTACATACAAGCTGATTCGAATTTTAAGGAAGGTCAGCTCAAAAAGGTCACCTTTAAGCAAACATTCTATAAAAAATAAAAAATGAAAAATACAGATTTAATATAAAAGAATGTCGTTTGTTTAACCTGTATAGCTGAAGTATCAAAGATCAGTAATGGATTTGAACCCATTTGGTCCATTTTCCAGGTGATACATACATCGCGTTTTCAGCGGAAACTTGCTCGCGATTTCTAATTCATAGCGGGGCGTTTAGATCATACATGTGAATAATGTGTTTTGTACGCTATTTGAAAGTGCCATGCTCTGCAGACAGTCGCCAACAGCTTAAGGTCAGGGTGCATGATGGGAAATTTTCTGCATTCCTCAATTGAGTCACACGTTATTTTTCAAACAAGAATCACTCCTTCCCAACATTGTCTATATCTTCCAGTTTTGCACAAAGAGTGCACTTATGTGCCTAGAAAAGACTTGTGAGAAGAATGTTTTGATATAGTGTATAAAAAACAAGAAAATTCAGTGAAAAAATTCAGAAATTTTTCAGACATTATACAATTACACCGGAAAACTGGTTCAGACCAACATGATATTTGTTCAGTGACAGACATCAATAGCTACAGAATTTCATTTAGGTTGGATGTTCTCTTAAAGTTGTTAGAGTAGATAGTCCAGGGTCTTGAAGTAAGACTACTGTTTTCAAGGCAAAACTGATTTCATTTCAGAATAGAAATTTTACGTCACGTGACATGACGTGTGTGGTGGAAACAATTTGCCGCGAAATACGAGTTTGTGAGTGGAAATAAAACCATGGCCTCAAAAACGAGTTATTCGCTCTTGCGAGGGGCGATCCAAAAGTCGCTGACGCCGTATTGATAGAAATACTCGAAACTGTCCAATGATAAAGATAAACAACCCAATTACTTTGTATATTAATTTCATGAAGAAATCATGTATTTCATGTATTTTTCTAGATTTTGATATAGGAACTCTGCCACCCGGAACTGTATTTGCACATGGCAACTTTCAGCCTTATGCTACCGGCGTCCTTTATTTAATTTGTTTCGCTAGTTTATAACACTATCTTTCTTTGAGTTTTGAACTTGAGCAGATACGACACCATACAGTCCAGATATAGCCCCGTATGATTTTTCCTTTTAGCCAAGTTTAAAGAAGGGTTCAATGTTTTTTACTCATTGGATGAGATTAGAGTTCAATGTCTATTGCACAGTCAGTTCGCGCATCTCATATGCCAAAAACGAGAACTGAATGACTCATCGACATTTTGTGCATCTGAAAGATTTACCCCGGATGTTCAAATGCTGCATGGCGCAATCGATTAACGTGCCAGCTTTTTAAAGTTTTTAAACCCCGAGGGAGCGGTTTCAAAACCCAACAGAAGCTAATATCATTTTTTAACCGTCCACAATACATTTTCTAGATCTCTATTTATATGACATACTCATATTGATCTATCAAGACATTTTTTGGCAATATTAGTCTTTGATTATATACGGAATAATAATATTTTCCCACTAATTCATAATATTCAAAGTTTTTTTTCTCAAGATCCGGACGGTAAATATTCATAAATATATTTTAAACACATTTGTATTCTCATAGAAAAATCAGAATTTTTTAAAGAAAAAAATGAATTGTGCAATTTTTTTAAAGAATAAAAATTGATTTCCAATTGAGAGCAATGTTAAATTTAAACTTTTTTCAGAAATAACTATAAACGGTCAATCTTTTAATTTAATTTTCACATATTTTGTTATGCCTCAGTATATCTTTCACTTTGATAAAAAATCCGACTTCGTAGAAAAAAGTCGGTCGACATTGAAGTTCTACCTTAATGTGGTGACACTCAGATTGTAAAATCGGGAAATGTAATGACACAAAGTTGCTGAGATGTTGATCCTTATTATTTGAAAGTTTCATGTTATTTCATTAAAAGATAGCAAAGTAAGAGCGGGTTGTCAAATATTTTTGGATCTCCCGTCGTCGTATATTGAGCTAAATTAATGCATGATTTCAGGCTATTATTACCAATTTTGTGAAGGATCATTGCACTTGCGGAATCAATCGAGTTGAAACGCTATTGAAAGCATGTTATATATAAAAGGAAGCATTGCCAGTAGTGTTTGGGGATTAAAACTTTTTAACCAGAATGCAATGCTGTAAGGCCAAAATGTAATTATTGGGTTAACTTTTTAAGTTATCGATATACGGTCTAACAAATGCATTTGAAACAATTCCTTGTCTATGATATGAATAATATTGCAGTGCCCTTTCCACAAGAACTTTTTTGTGAAGTTCAGTCAATTAAAAATATTTATTTTGTTATTGGAATGCGTGCGAATGTGAAACTAATGTATATTTCTACTTTGGTTCAACAAGTTTTTTATAGCGCCAGAATAACTTGGCACACGGTACGTCAAAACTTGTACGTCAGATGACCTCAAAAAGTGCGCAAAAATAACAGCTTTTCAGAGGTTGACAGTTTCATCTTAGTAAATTGTGTTTTGTGGGGAAATATCACAAGCTTTGTAGTCACAATAACAAAGGAAATGTTATTTGTGCTAAGTACAAGCTAATGAGAGATTTTGAAAATTGGTTTAGTACAACTTTAATTATTTTTAAATCGCCTTCCACAGGGAAGAGTAACTACTAAAATAGTATAGAAAACTGCAGGGTGGACAAAGTGGTACAGACCAACAATATTGATTACTGTTGACACTCTCTGTTACAATATGTCTGAATGGGCAAAAGATGATGATGAACTGTTCCGGGATACAACTTTCGATGACGACACTGATGAGGAGGATAACTATGATGAAAATAACAATGATGATCACAGCGATGATGACAACATCATCCACAAAACAGATAAGCATCTCAAGTACAAAGAAAGAAGGAAATACTTGATAACAAAGACGATTGTTCTAGGCTTAATCTGGATGACTGGGGTGAGGATTTATTCAAACAGGCTTAAAGAGTCATGTAATATACAGCAGTAAATTCTAATTTGAAAGTTATTCAAATGTCTATACAGCAGTAAATTAAAAGTCTAATAACAGGGTGGGCAAATATGGGACACTCATTTCTATTCAAAAGAGCAAACTTGAAGCAAATGTTATAAAAATTAATTTGTTTCACTTAATTAATGACAAATGTTTACCTATTTGTTCCTAAATACTTTTAAGAATGACACAAAGTATCCCATTTTTATTGTCCACTCTATAGAAACCTCACAATTTCCATGCTCTGCATTAATATACATTATCCCTAAGATAGCTCATCTGACTGGTAAAAAATTTATATTTATCAATACGGAGCATTTTCGCTACTTTACAACGATAAGCATATAAATGTATAGTTCATTACATATCTGTCTACACTGTACATAGAAAATAATATAAGCTTTTTGATACATGATAATGTATATAGTAAGATTGATGTGTATGTCTACAGGGGTGCTATTCAGGACTGACCGTAGCGACAGTTCCAGATCTAAAGTTAAGGATTGGTTCTGATTATGAAGAGTTCTCACGGGCCCTGGCGGCAGCTGGTCTCGGTGTCTTAATTTCTGCACCTTTAGGTGGTGTGCTTGCAGATAGGTGAGTCTTGGCCTCTTCATTTCTGCACTCTTAGGTGGGCTCGCAGATAGGTGAGTCTTGGTGTCTTCATGTCTGCACCATTAGGTGGTGTGCTTGCAGATAGGTGAGTCTTGGTGTCTTCATGTCTGCACCATTAGGTGGTGTGCTTGCAGATAGGTGAGTCTTGGTGTCTTCATGTCTGCACCATTAGGTGGTGTGCTTGCAGATAGGTGAGTCTTGGTGTCTTCATGTCTGCACCATTAGGTGGTGTGCTTGCAGATAGGTGAGTCTTGGTGTCTTCATGTCTGCACCATTAGGTGGTGTGCTTGCAGATAGGTGAGTCTTGGCCTCTTCATGTCTGCACCATTAGGTGGTGTTCTTGCAGATAGGTGAGTCTTGGCCTCTTCATTTCTGCACCTTTAGGTGGTGTGCTTGCAGATAGGTGAGTCTTGGTGTCTTCATGTCTGCACCATTAGGTGGTGTGCTTGCAGATAGGTGAGTCTTGGTGTCTTCATGTCTGCACCATTAGGTGGTGTGCTTGCAGATAGGTGAGTCTTGGCCTCTTCATTTCTGCACCATTAGGTGGTGTGCTTGCAGATAGGTGAGTCTTGGCCTCTTCATGTCTGCACCATTAGGTGGTGTGCTTGCAGATAGGTGAGTCCTTGCGTCTTCATTTCTGCACCATTAGGTGGTGTGCTTGCAGATAGGTGAGTCTTGGCCTCTTCATTTCTGCACCATTAGGTGGTGTGCTTGCAGATAGGCGAGTCTTTGCCTCTTCATTTCTGCACCATTAGGTGGTGTGCTTGCAGATAGGTGAGTCTTTGCCTCTTCATTTCTGCACCATTAGGTGGTGTGCTTGCAGATAGGTGAGTCTTGGCCTCTTCATTTCTGCACCATTAGGTGGTGTGCTTGCAGATAGGTGAGTCTTGGCCTCTTCATTTCTGCACCATTAGGTGGTGTGCTTGCAGATAGGTGAGTCTTGGTGTCTTCATGTCTGCACCATTAGGTGGTGTGCTTGCAGATAGGTGAGTCTTGGTGTCTTCATGTCTGCACCATTAGGTGGTGTGCTTGCAGATAGGTGAGTCTTGGTGTCTTCATGTCTGCACCATTAGGTGGTGTGCTTGCAGATAGGTGAGTCTTGGCCTCTTCATTTCTGCACCATTAGGTGGTGTGCTTGCAGATAGGTGAGTCTTGGCCTCTTCATTTCTGCACCATTAGGTGGTGTGCTTGCAGAAAGGTGAGTCTTGGCCTCTTCATTTCTGCACCATTAGGTGGTGTGCTTGCAGATAGGTGAGTCTTGGCCTCTTCATGTCTGCACCATTAGGCAGTGTGCTTGCAGATAGGTGAGTCTTGGCCTCTTCATTTCTGCACCATTAGGTGGTGTGCTTGCAGATAGGTGAGTCTTGGTGTCTTCATGTCTGCACCATTAGGTGGTGTGCTTGCAGATAGGTGAGTCTTGGCCTCTTCATGTCTGCACCATTAGGTGGTGTGCTTGCAGATAGGTGAGTCTTGGCCTCTTCATGTCTGCACCATTAGGTGGTGTGCTTGCAGATAGGTGAGTCTTTGCGTCTTCATTTTTGCACCATAAGGTGGTGTGCTTGCAGATAGGTGAGTCTTGGCCTCTTCATGTCTGCACCATTAGGTGGTGTGCTTGCAGATAGGTGAGTCTTGGCCTCTTCATGTCTGCACCATTAGGTGGTGTGCTCGCAGATAGGTGTGTCTTGGTGTCTTCATTCCTGAACCATTAAGAATGGTGAAACAGTGTTCTCTCTTATACATGTATATTCCGTTATGACTGCACCATTAGGTGGTGTGCTTGCAGATAGGTGAGTCTTGGTGTCTTCATGTCTGCACCATTAGGTGGTGTGCTTGCAGATAGGTGAGTCTTGGTGTCTTCATGTCTGCACCATTAGGTGGTGTGCTTGCAGATAGGTGAGTCTTGGCCTCTTCATGTCTGCACCATTAGGTGGTGTTCTTGCAGATAGGTGAGTCTTGGCCTCTTCATTTCTGCACCTTTAGGTGGTGTGCTTGCAGATAGGTGAGTCTTGGTGTCTTCATGTCTGCACCATTAGGTGGTGTGCTTGCAGATAGGTGAGTCTTGGTGTCTTCATGTCTGCACCATTAGGTGGTGTGCTTGCAGATAGGTGAGTCTTGGCCTCTTCATTTCTGCACCATTAGGTGGTGTGCTTGCAGATAGGTGAGTCCTTGCGTCTTCATTTCTGCACCATTAGGTGGTGTGCTTGCAGATAGGTGAGTCTTGGCCTCTTCATTTCTGCACCATTAGGTGGTGTGCTTGCAGATAGGTGAGTCTTTGCCTCTTCATTTCTGCACCATTGGGTGGTGTGCTTGCAGATAGGTGAGTCTTTGCCTCTTCATTTCTGCACCATTAGGTGGTGTGCTTGCAGATAGGTGAGTCTTGGCCTCTTCATTTCTGCACCATTAGGTGGTGTGCTTGCAGATAGGTGAGTCTTGGCCTCTTCATTTCTGCACCATTAGGTGGTGTGCTTGCAGATAGGTGAGTCTTGGTGTCTTCATGTCTGCACCATTAGGTGGTGTGCTTGCAGATAGGTGAGTCTTGGTGTCTTCATGTCTGCACCATTAGGTGGTGTGCTTGCAGATAGGTGAGTCTTGGTGTCTTCATGTCTGCACCATTAGGTGGTGTGCTTGCAGATAGGTGAGTCTTGGCCTCTTCATTTCTGCACCATTAGGTGGTGTGCTTGCAGATAGGTGAGTCTTGGCCTCTTCATTTCTGCACCATAAGGTGGTGTGCTTGCAGAAAGGTGAGTCTTGGCCTCTTCATTTCTGCACCATTAGGTGGTGTGCTTGCAGATAGGTGAGTCTTGGCCTCTTCATGTCTGCACCATTAGGCAGTGTGCTTGCAGATAGGTGAGTCTTGGCCTCTTCATTTCTGCACCATTAGGTGGTGTGCTTGCAGATAGGTGAGTCTTGGTGTCTTCATGTCTGCACCATTAGGTGGTGTGCTTGCAGATAGGTGAGTCTTGGCCTCTTCATGTCTGCACCATTAGGTGGTGTGCTTGCAGATAGGTGAGTCTTGGCCTCTTCATGTCTGCACCATTAGGTGGTGTGCTTGCAGATAGGTGAGTCTTTGTGTCTTCATTTCTGCACCATTAGGTGGTGTGCTTGCAGATAGGTGAGTCTTGGCCTCTTCATGTCTGCACCATTAGGTGGTGTGCTTGCAGATAGGTGAGTCTTGGCCTCTTCATGTCTGCACCATTAGGTGGTGTGCTTGCAGATAGGTGAGTCTTTGCGTCTTCATTTTTGCACCATTAGGTGGTGTGCTTGCAGATAGGTGAGTCTTGGCCTCTTCATGTCTGCACCATTAGGTGGTGTGCTTGCAGATAGGTGAGTCTTGGTGTCTTCATGTCTGCACCATTAGGTGGTGTGCTTGCAGATAGGTGAGTCTTGGCCTCTTCATGTCTGCACCATTAGGTGGTGTGCTAGCAGAAAGGCGAGTCTTGGCCTCTTCATGTCTGCACCATTAGGTGGTGTGCTTGCAGATAGGTGAGTCTTGGCCTCTTCATGTCTGCACCATTAGGTGGTGTTCTTGCAGATAGGTGAGTCTTGGCCTCTTCATTTCTGCACCTTTAGGTGGTAAGCTTGCAGATAGGTGAGTCTTGGTGTCTTCATGTCTGCACCATTAGGTGGTGTGCTTGCAGATAGGTGAGTCTTGGTGTCTTCATGTCTGCACCATTAGGTGGTGTGCTTGCAGATAGGTGAGTCTTGGCCTCTTCATGTCTGCACCATTAGGTGGTGTGCTTGCAGATAGGTGAGTCTTGGCCTCTTCATGTCTGCACCATTAGGTGGTGTGCTTGCAGATAGGTGAGTCTTGGCCTCTTCATGTCTGCACCATTAGGTGGTGTTCTTGCAGATAGGTGAGTCTTGGCCTCTTCATTTCTGCACCTTTAGGTGGTAAGCTTGCAGATAGGTGAGTCTTGGTGTCTTCATGTCTGCACCATTAGGTGGTGTGCTTGCAGATAGGTGAGTCTTGGTGTCTTCATGTCTGCACCATTAGGTGGTGTGCTTGCAGATAGGTGAGTCTTGGCCTCTTCATTTCTGCACCATTAGGTGGTGTGCTTGCAGATAGGTGAGTCTTGGCCTCTTCATGTCTGCACCATTAGGTGGTGTGCTTGCAGATAGGTGAGTCCTTGCGTCTTCATTTCTGCACCATTAGGTGGTGTGCTTGCAGATAGGTGAGTCTTGGCCTCTTCATTTCTGCACCATTAGGTGGTGTGCTTGCAGATAGGTGAGTCTTTGCCTCTTCATTTCTGCACCATTAGGTGGTGTGCTTGCAGATAGGTGAGTCTTTGCCTCTTCATTTCTGCACCATTAGGTGGTGTGCTTGCAGATAGGTGAGTCTTGGCCTCTTCATTTCTGCACCATTAGGTGGTGTGCTTGCAGATAGGTGAGTCTTGGCCTCTTCATTTCTGCACCATTAGGTGGTGTGCTTGCAGATAGGTGAGTCTTGGTGTCTTCATGTCTGCACCATTAGGTGGTGTGCTTGCAGATAGGTGAGTCTTGGTGTCTTCATGTCTGCACCATTAGGTGGTGTGCTTGCAGATAGGTGAGTCTTGGTGTCTTCATGTCTGCACCATTAGGTGGTGTGCTTGCAGATAGGTGAGTCTTGGCCTCTTCATTTCTGCACCATTAGGTGGTGTGCTTGCAGATAGGTGAGTCTTGGCCTCTTCATTTCTGCACCATTAGGTGGTGTGCTTGCAGAAAGGTGAGTCTTGGCCTCTTCATTTCTGCACCATTAGGTGGTGTGCTTGCAGATAGGTGAGTCTTGGCCTCTTCAAGTCTGCACCATTAGGCAGTGTGCTTGCAGATAGGTGAGTCTTGGCCTCTTCATTTCTGCACCATTAGGTGGTGTGCTTGCAGATAGGTGAGTCTTGGTGTCTTCATGTCTGCACCATTAGGTGGTGTGCTTGCAGATAGGTGAGTCTTGGCCTCTTCATGTCTGCACCATTAGGTGGTGTGCTTGCAGATAGGTGAGTCTTGGCCTCTTCATGTCTGCACCATTAGGTGGTGTGCTTGCAGATAGGTGAGTCTTGGCGTCTTCATTTTTGCACCATTAGGTGGTGTGCTTGCAGATAGGTGAGTCTTGGCCTCTTCATGTCTGCACCATTAGGTGGTGTGCTTGCAGATAGGTGAGTCTTGGCCTCTTCATGTCTGCACCATTAGGTGGTGTGCTCGCAGATAGGTGTGTCTTGGTGTCTTCATTCCTGAACCATTAAGAATGGTGAAACAGTGTTCTCTCTTATACATGTATATTCCGTTATGACTGCACCATTAGGTGGTGTGATTGCAGATCTTGGCGTCTTCATTTCTGCACCATTTTGGAGTCTTAATTTCTGCAAAACAGTGTTTTCTCTAATACATGTATATTCCGTTATGACTCCAATTGAGTAAGACCAAATGAAGTGCTTCAACTTTTTTTATCCTCAATAGTTGGGGAACCGTATTTGGCTAGGATTCAAAAACTGGTATAAATAGGTTTTTAGTAGTCGCAGATGAGGCCCCTTTTGCTGGTTGGTTTAAATAGTGAACACAGTACTTTCTAATACCTGATCCAATGCAGGCAGCAATGTTTGTAAACAAAACTGTAGGAAGGGAACTTCGTAAATAAACAATACTTACTTCTTACTTCTGGCCTTTTCAGAATTTCTGATATTACTAACTTGACTGATTTATAATTGTAGATGGGTGCGCGGACGGGATGCTCAGATTATTACCTTTGTTGCACTCGCTGCTGTTTTCACAGTGGTCAGGCCCTGGATTACCAATCTGTGGATGTTTGGGGTTATTATGTGGTTGGATGGGTTTGTGACCGGAATATATTCTCCAGGTAAATTATATGACCCCTTTCAATATTTATATCGAGAGCTCTATATGTAAAAACATTCTTTGAATAAAGTAAAAAAGCACAAACTATTCCATAACTATGAGCAATACAGTAGCTCATTTAAACATTCGTCCAATTCTTTATGATATTTCAGGGAAGAACAACATGTTAGACAAACTGTGGGGTTCTGGGATAGGACTGCCACGCCATCTAATGTCCGTCTGCTCCGTAATAGGAACTGTCCTTGCTCCATTGATATGTCGGCCATTTTTCTTGACACATGACGTCAGTGATGGTAGCGTTAATTGTAATGACTCGGATGATTCCATATGTCTCAACGGTACAAATAAATGGTTAAATGATACACGTATTGCTAAGAGTGCAAATGTAGATGCCATCAATGCAACATTCCGAAACATTACGAATGACACAGAAAATGTAGTTCCTAATGGTAACATTGCAGGGTATAGTAATGAGATAAGTTCTCCAATAGAGTACCCATATATGATTATAGTTTCGTGGACAATTATCCCTTTAGTGCTTTTAGGGATATTCTACTACCGTGACCCGACTTCAGGCCAGAAATATTACACCCAAAATGGTGAAATAAACAATGGTGCCTTCAAGAAAGAAACCCCAACGTGGAAGTCCATATTCTCGCCAAAGACATGCGGACAAGGTAGTTCGGTATTTGGAATGGGAATTATATTTGTACTTTGTTTGTATTACTTTTCTTTGGCCTTCAAAAGTAAACCTTTCTATGAATTTATCATGGCGTATGCTGTGGATAAAATAGGAATGTCGAAAGCAGACGCTGCTGTGATGATGGTAGTAGGGCGGTTAATCTCTATCGTGGCGGGGATCATATGGGGCACAATGACTCGATTCATCCCCATACAAGTATTACTAATCATTCAGGTTTTCACCGAGCTTGCCATTGTCATATATTTCAACTATGTAGAAATTCACACAAGTGCTGCCCTTTACGGCTTCATTGTTGCTATACGTGTGTTAAGTGCGGCAAATTGGGCATCTGGTATAACATGGGGGCTAAGATATCTCGAGTTCTCATCTTTGGTGTATACTTTCATAGAACTAAGCGCTTCATCTGCGGGTATACTTTCCACATGGGCAACTGGCTATGTCCTAGAGTATGGCGACAATGAAGCAATGCTGAGGCTTCGGCTAGGGGGCAATGTAGTACTTTGTGTCGTAGTGATTATCATGCAAATAGTTGCCTCGAGTAAAGGTGAGAAATTTAAAAAAGCTGAGTCGTATGAAATGAAGGAGATGGGAGATCATTCTGATGCAAAGACCCCTCTATTGTTTTGTGAATAGGTGGCGCCATTAGCTGACGAGGATATTTGAATAGTGAGGCACTTAATGATATTCACCAATTCTTAAAACATAATACATATGTTAGGCCTAATGGTAAAACTATATTTTGGTGAACACGAAATTGTTAAAATCTCACCACTCTGGTCTTAGTTTCCTAGCAGCGTGCCCTAGGAGCAATTATGACAAAATTCCGTCTTAAAGGAGGAATGAACTACAATGTGTACATGTATACCCAGCTTTATGCCTCGATGGTCGACCCAATTCTGTTATACGCTGCCGGCACATGGAGCGCAAACGTCACCCCAGGAGCGCCAGCAGTTAAAATACAAAACAAAGCTGAACATTTCTACATGTAATGGGAGTTGGTAAATGTGCACCGAACGATGCAACACGTGGAGACATGTGCTGGACTGACCCGAATGTGCGACAAAAAGTCGAAAAGGCCAGGCAGTGGTGTCGTTTTAAAAACATGAATAACGACAGAATCACAAAACGGATCCACAACTGGTCTTTAACGCAACCACTACCATGGGACTCTAAGGTTAAGCTAGAATTGCAACGTGAAAAGGCAGACCACTTCAAAACAGATGACTACATCCCATCAGTTAAACATGAAATTAAGAAGTATAAGTTGGACTTAATCTCAAAACAGCATATAGCTTGGCACAACTCCATATCGGAACGACTCTAGGAACCAGGAAAACGGAAATAAACTTAGGACATATCTACTCCACAAGATACACAAAACAGAACTCGAACTCATCTTCAGAACTTCAGAACTCATCTTCGCATTAGCCTTAATAAATATGAACGCTCCAATCTAGCTAAACTCAGAACGGGTACACCGCCACTGAGATTTGAAACTGGTAGATACACTGGGGTCCCCATTAAGGAAAGAACATGTAAGTGCGAGCGTGACATCGTCGAGGACGAGATACACTTTCTCGTGGACTGTTCACTTCATCAAACTTTAAGAATTAACCTATTTGAGAAAGCCAGATAACACATACTTAACTATGATCAGCTATCTAGTTTGGCTAAATACTGTAGTCTCATGACAAATGAAAACCTCACACGAACATTAACAAAGGGTGTAAACAATATGCTTTTAAATCGCAAAAAGTATTTTATTGGTTATTTTTAGATTTTACAACTTTAAATAACAAGTATTTAACTATGTTTCAGTCTCTCATAAGCCGAATGCCGGCTGGGCTAAATTATTAGCGTGAGACGTAAATAAATTATAAAACTAAAACTAGTTTCACACTCGAAAATATTATATTCAGTAAACCTTTTTAACTTTAAGGTAACGGTGAACTTCAAAGATTTCCTAAAAAATAGAGAATTTTGCAATGTGAATTTTTCACTCTTTCTGAGAAGACGTTGTTTTTATTCCATTGGTGCTTGTGCAATTTTATCATTACAGATACACTCAAGAACAACAAAAACTTTAGTTTGATAGAAGATATTTTCGAGGAGTATTCCTTGAATAACCGCTGATCCAAAATGTCTTAAAATTTAGTATAAAAAAATCAGAACCATTTTTGTGTTACCCTGTATATAATGTTCAGTATAAAATAATGTACCATATATGATGATCAAACATGGTCGCAACTAGAAGGCATAAGTCTATAATCGAATCCGTTAACCGGTATTTGAGTTATGGCCTGGACAGACGGACCAACGGATGAATGGACGGATGGACGGCTTCGCTATATACCCATCGAACTTCATTCGGTAATAAAGATGATAATAATGAATGATAAAATGATAATAATGAAAAAGAAATATATACATATGGAACAGTGCGTAGCAAGAAATATTTTGTTTGTTCAATACTTTGTTCAACTTTTGACTATGGGTTTTGCATGTCAATAATTTAATTGAAAAAGGCCATCACTGAAAGGGTCACTTATAGGTGAATAAATACGAAAAAACATATATTTCTATAACTATTCTAGTTGAACCGTATAAGAATACATTTCATACAAACCGACTCATAGCTTTTACAACCTTCGTGTATGGGTTTTGCATATCAATAAGTTAATTCAGATTTTAAGGAAAGCCGTCGCAAAAGGTCACCTTTAGGCAAACATTCTATGAGGAATAAAAAATGAAAAATACAGAATTAATACAAAAGAATGTCTTTGTTTAACCGGTATAGCTGGAGTTTCAAAGATCACTAATGGATGTGAACCCATTTGGTCAATTTTCCAGGTGATACGACATATATCGCGTTTTCAGCGGGAACTAACTCGTGTTTTCGAATTCATAGCGGGGCGTTGGATCATACAAATGTGTTTTGTACTCTATTTGAAAGTATGCTCAGCAGTGGACAAGAGCTTAAGAGATGGTAGCAATTAGACCGGAAAACTGGTTCAGACCAACAATATTGATATTTGTTGACAGACATCAATAGCGTAGAGTATATCATTTAGGTTGGTTGATGTTCTCTTTATTATTTTTTGAATCGCCTTCCACAGGGAAGAGTAACTACTAAAATAGTATAGAAAACTACAAGGTGGAAAAGGTGGTACAGACCAACAATATTGGTTATTGGTGACACTATCTGTTACAATATGTCTGAATGGGCAAAAGATGATGATGAACTGTTCCAGGATACAACTTTAGATGACGACAGTGATGAGGACGATAACTATGATGATAATAACAATGATGATCACAGCGATGATGACAACATCATCCACAAAACAGAAAAGCATCTCAATAATCGGGAGAACAAAGAAAGAAGGAGATATGTGATAACAAAAACGATTGTTCTTGGCTTAATCTGGATGACTAGGGTGAGACATTATTCAAACAGGCTTTGGTTAGTTATTAATATGTTTTAAAGCAGTGGATTCTAATTTGAGAGTTATGTAAATGTGCTTTAGACAGCAGTAAATCAAAAATCGTATCTAATTTATTAAGACCTAGAGTCATAAAAATCAGCCTAATGAGCAAGTTAACTAAGAGTCACTATGCTTTATACATAAGTTGCATTTGTTCTGAAATGAAGTTGCTCTACAGGGTGTGGAAATATGGGACACTCACATATATTATATTTAAAAGAGCAGACACGAACCAAATGTCATAAATATTAATATGTATACGTATGTTTATTTATGTGTTCCTAAATACTTTTACGAATCATACAAAGTATCCCATTTTTATTGTCCACCCTGTACATGTAGAAGCCCCATAATTTCCACACACTGCATTAAGAGACCGTTTCCTATAAATAGCTCATCTGACTTTTATATTTATCAATACCAAGTATTTTCCTTACTCTACAACGATAAGCATATAAATGTTTAGTTCATAAAACTTATTGGTGTATGTAGATGTAAATACTAAGAATGATGTGTATTTCTTCAGGGGTGCTATTCAGGACATATGGGGTACATATACTTTCCCTCAATGGCAGTCAGTATTTGTATAATTATCAATACGGAGCATTTTCTCTGCTTTGAAACGATAAGCATATAAATATATGTCTACAGTGAACCTAGAAAATAAAATATTAAGTTTTTTGATGCATGTAAATGTATATAGTAAAAATGATATGTATTTCTACAGGGGTGCTATTCAGGACTGACCGTAGCGACAATCCCAGATCTAAAGTTAAGGGTTGGTTCCGATTATGAAGAGTTCTCACGGGCACTAGCGGCGGTTGGACTTGGCGTTTTCATTTCTGCACCGTTAGGTGGTGTACTAGCAGATAGGTGAGTCTCGGCCTCTTCATTTCTGCACCATTAGCTAGCAAAAAGGTGAGTCTTGGCCTCTTGATTTCTGCACATTTAGGTGGTGTACTAGCAGAGAGGTGAGTCTCGGCCTCTTCATTTCTGCACCATTAGCTAGCAGAAAGGTGAATCTTGGCCTCTTGATTTCTGCACCTTTAGGTGGTGTACTAGCAGAGAGGTGAATCTTGGACGGCTTTGTATAAAAAACCTCCTACCTCATACCCACCTACCCACATACGTTGGACATGATACAGTCTTTGAAGGGTTCAATTTTAAAGATCTTAGTTTATTAAATCTTAGTTTATGATGAATTATAGATGCATTTATAATGACCCTTGATAGCAAATCGCTACTACAGCCCAGCTTGGTTCGATTCCCACTCGGGGCATCGAATTTAGCACACTTTCAATTTCTTTATCTGGCTTGTTGGACCTATGCTCGCAGTCATTAGTTAGTTATTCTTCTGGGGCGCCCTCGGGTCATTACACATTACAATGCACCCATGTGCCTTTATTTATGGATCTGTCATCCGTCTAGTCATAGAATAAAGCCGGTGTGAAAGAAATGATGGTCCCCCAGGGATTATGGTCCACTTTCTTAACGGCCCTTACTGACCCTGATTGCGTATAAGCTAATGAGGGAAAGAGTTGTATTTGGGTCACCATATAAATCAATGGAGAGTAGGACCATAATTTGATAGGACCTCCTACCCTTTTACACCGGAATTGTAGAAATGTTAATAATTAGAGCTATTTTGAGATTTAAAATTCTTCAAAATTGAACCCTTCAATGACTGTATCATGTCCCACGTAGGTGGGTAGGTGGGTATGAGGTAGGAGGTTTTTTATACAAAGCCGTCTTGGACTCTTGATTTCTGCACCTTTAGGTGGTGTACTAGCAGAGAGGTGAGTCTTGGCCTCTTGATTTCTGCACCTTTAGGTGGTGTACTAGCAGAGAGGTGAGTCTTGGCCTCTTCATTTCTGCACCATTAGGTGGTGTGCTAGCAGATAGGTGAATCTTGGCGTCTTCATTTCTGCACCATTAGGTGGTGTGCTTGCAGAAAGGCGAGCCTTGGCCTCTTCATTTCTGCACCATTAGGTGGCGTACTTGCAGATAGGTTAGTCTTGGCCTCTTCATTTCTGCACCCTTAGGTGGTGTGCTTGCAGAAAGGTGAGTCTTGACCTCTTCATTTTTGCACCATTAGGTGGCGTGCTTGCAGAAATGTGAGTCTTGGTCTCTTCATTTCTGCACCATTAGGTGGTGTGCTAGCAGAAATGTGAATCTTGGCGTCTTCATTTCTGCACCATTAGGTGGCGCACTTGCAGATAGGTGAGTCTTGGTATCTTCATTTCTGCACCATTAGGTGGTGTGCTAGCAGAAATGTGAATCTTGGCGTCTTCATTTCTGCACCATTAGGTGGCGCACTTGCAGATAGGTGAGTCTTGGTATCTTCATTTCTGCACCATTAGGTGGTGTGCTTGCAGATAGGTGAGTCTTGGCCTCTTCATGTCTGCACCATTAGGTGGCGCACTTGCAGATAGGTGAGTCTTGGTATCTTCATTTCTGCACCATTAGGTGGTGTGCTAGCAGAAATGTGAATCTTGGCGTCTTCATTTCTGCACCATTAGGTGGTGTGCTTGCAGATAGGTGAGTCTCGGCCTCTTCACTTCTGCAGCATTGCTATTCAGGACTGACAGTTGCGACAATCCCAGATCTAAAATTAAGGGTTGGTTCCGATTATGAAGAGTTCTCACGGGCCCTGGCGGCGGCTGAACTTGGCGTCTTCATTTCTGCACCGTTAGGTAATGTGCTAGCAGATAGGCGAGCGAATTGTCATGCAGATGTGAAATATGTTATGGCCCCCTTCTGTGTATTCCTTAATCCCTTTCCACACTTTCACAATAATTTTGAAAAAATGTCATTTTATTAATTCAATATTTATAAATTATACTTCTGTTCTCTATGTTTTCTCCCATAATATATAAATATTCACATACACATGTGAAAACCTTAAACATTTTATTTTTTTATATTATTGGTGATTATCAATACAATCATGAATATTACATTAAGATTATATTATGATGCAAACCTCCTTAATTGCCCTGATTGAGTAAAACTAATGAAGGAAGTGTTTTACTTAAAGAGATCGAGTCGTCCAGATTTCTATTCTGGACAATCAGTAATGTCTCAATATAATTGCTCATAAAACATCATATTATATACCTTAGATATATCTTGAGACCAAATCATAAGCACGATATCGACAATATACTGAGGATATCAACAGCGGGACAACCAAAAGAACAACCAACTGTCAGAATTGAACGCAATAAGTCGAAAACAGAATACAATGTTTTTGGGGGATTTATCTATATTGTAACCCCTTAGAAGTAATAAATATGGCTTCTCTAAGCCAAAATAATCTGAAGGAAAAAGCCAATCAGACTGGAACAAATTTGAGCGGGCTTTTTAAATTTTAATTTCTATTGATGTAAGTGGAAATTCATGGCTAGGAACAATCATCGAATTGATACTGATAACAATTAATCCAAGCCTCAGAATTGATAAGTTGATAAACAAACTTGTTTTACATCATATAACACGACAAAATTAGGGGGTTACTCTAATTGTGTTTTTAGGAGACCCGATCTCTTTAAATTTCTTTATATTCAATGGTCGAGGGATCATATTTGGCTTAACAAAAACATTTTCTGACTGTGCCTTTATCCACTGGTTTACAAAGGACAAAATACCAAATATGGTTCTAATGCAGGCAACAATGTTAGACAACAGCATCAAATAAACTACATGTACTAGTGTCCATCGACTCAGACTTAATGAGGCATAATCCTGGTACTGTACATATATCACAATACCATAACCAATAGTTATTGGATTGATATGTTATAGATGGGTTCGTGGTCGGGATGCACAAATCATTACCTTTTTGGCACTTACTGCAATTTTCACTGTGGTCAGGCCCTGGATAACTAATCTTTGGATGTTTGGGGTTGTGATGTGGTTGGATGGATTCGTGAATGGAATATACGCCCCAGGTAAGATTGTATGATTGACCCCTTTTCAACAGTTAAGTTTTGACTAATATTGAAAGCCCATGATATAGCCTTTCTACTAAGATTAGGTAGATCAAAATTCAAAATAACAAAGAATTGAAAATTACTGTATCTCATTTAAACAGTCACTTGATGCCATTTCAGGGAAGAACAACATGTTAGATAAACTGTGGGGTTCTCGGATAGGACTACCACGCCATCTAATGTCCGTCTGCCACGTGATAGGAACTGTCCTTGCTCCATTGATATGTCGGCCATTTTTCTTGATACATGACGTCAACGATGGTAGTGTCAATTGTAATGGCTCAAATTACTCGAGATGCCTTAATGCTACAAATAAATGGCTGAATCACACACAAAATGCGAATGAAGGAAATATAGAAACCATCAAAGGAAATTACCAACACATTATGAATGACACGAAAAATGTAGTTCCTAATGGTAACATTGCAGGGGATAATATTGAGATCAGTTCTCCAATTGAATACCCATATATCATCATATTTTCTTGGACGATCGTCCCTATAGTGCTCTTAGCAATATTTTATTACCATGACCCAACTTCAGGCCAAAAGTATTACACTCAAAATGGTGAAATAATCAAAAGTGCTTTTAAGAAAGAAACCCCAACGTGGAAGTCCATATTCTCGCCAAAGACATGCGGACAAGGAAGTTCGGTATTTGGAATGGGAATTATCTTTGTACTTTGTTTGTATTATTTTACTTTGTCCTTCAAAGGTAGGCCTTTCCATGAGTTTATCATGGCGTATGCTGTTGATAAAATAGGAATGGCGAAAGCGGACGTTGCAGTGATGATTGTGGTAGGACATTTTATATCTATCACAGCGGGGATTATATGGGGCGCGCTAACTTGTTTCTTCCCGATACAAGTCTTGCTATTCGTTCAGATTTTCTCGGAGCTGGCGATTATCATTTACTTCAACTATGTAGAGATCCACACAACTGCTGGACTATATGCTTTCATTGCAGCCACTGGTGTATTTGGTGCTCCGAACTGGGCAACTGGAATAACGTGGGGTTCTAGATACCTCGATCTTTGGTGTATACAGTTATTGGACTAGGTTCTTCATCAGCACGTATACTCTCCACATGGGTGACTGGCTATGTCCTGGAGTATGGTGGCCATGAAGCAATGCTGAGACTACACCTAGGGGGGAATATAGCAGTTTGTGTAGTGGTGATTCTCATGCAAATAGTCGCTTCATGTAAAGGAGAGAAGTTTAAAAAAGCTGAGACGTATGAAATGAAGGAGATTGAAGATCATTCTGATGCAAAGACGCCTTTATTGTTTTGAGAATAGATCGCGCCATTAGCTGTGGAGGATATATGAATAATGACGATGCATTTATAGTTTGTGCAGATATTGACCAATGATGTTTTCTTAAATCACAGTACATTTTTTTTACAGTATAAACATTTTTAACTGGATTATATTTTTTGTATAATTAATGGAGAATTTAATATAAAGATATATTTCATTTATTCAACTATTGCACATATTCCTTCCAGATTTAAATACAATCTATAACAATTCAAGACAACAGTTTCAGTTCAAATTTATCACATTCGAATGTCTATCACGATCTCATAATAATTTTTAACCAATACTAATCTCAGTGTCTAATTGCACACAATGAAACCTGTCTAAATGGGACACCTTTGGTACCTCTAAAGGTGTACTACTTTGGAGGTGTTCCACTAATAGGTGTTTATTGAACATCAATTCAGTTGTCAGACTCTAGAAAGTGTTCAACGAAAGAAGTGTTTCACTTCTAGAGGTGTTCCTAATTTACAGGTTTCACTGTATACAGTAAACCATGTCAGCTCTCAAGCTCTCTCAGTGAAGGCACTTGTCCAGTTTCCACCAGTTTGCTCCATACATCTTTCATTCTTAGTTCATTATGCATTTTATCTCTTAGAACCACCATACGATTTTATCCAAGGAACACTTAGCCACTACCTGCATCGTTATTTCGGATTAGAGAATTTTTCAATAAAATTTGACAGGTGATCCGGTTAAATGTTCAGTATCATCTCCATTGTGAGCTTCATGATATTCTCCATTACTATGGTTACCATGATACTCTTCATTACTATGGTTACAGTCACCCGTCTCTTCAGTCACAAATCCTTGAGTTTCCATTTGGTAAAACTCTTTTAAGCGGTTATTATCATTTTGGCAAAATGCTCGAAAATCTGCCAACATCTTATCTCTAAATTCGTCATCTCCAGTGTTGCTCGATCGCCATTTTTTCGAGAGGAGATGATTCCAGGACCACAGGAAACCAATGTCGACTAAGGGGTCGGGCTTAATCGACGAGAAACTGTCTGTACGATTACGCTTGGCGATGTAGTCCTTATGGAGGCTAGAAGATCGTGATTGTTTGCGGTATGAGGTGCTTGATGGACGGGGTGAGGCACTACGACTGTCGGGGATGAGAGTAAACATACCACCCGTACAGTGAATGAACTGCTGGGGCTCATTATTGTTGTGTCCACTGTCATCGGGTGAATATCTGTCTCTCATGAAACCAAACCTTGAATACAGTAAATAAGAGACACAGTGATCAATAATAAATATCACACTTTAAAGAGCAAAATGGCCACCATGTTTATTAACCAATCAAGCCCGAAACCTAATCAGATCTTCCCACTAGTCTGCTCTTACATCGGTAAGGTATCGATGACAAAATTTATGTGGCACCTGGGCACCCGCTAAGACACCCAGCAGCTCAAGACAATGGCAACATAGCACTTTTCAAAGTGGGCTTAAAAGTAAGTATTTTAATCGAACCATAGACTAAATGAGGAAGTTAAAGACTGATAACATAACCATAATACAGATCACAGCTAGTACATTTAAGTTATTAAATACATGTACCTTGCTAGAATCTTTTCCTGGAAAGTGTACAGCTGATCATGTACTCTCTGTTGCTCTTGAACATCTGCAACAAAAGAATTTATATATTTTAATTCTTTCATTATTTTTTGGAGACATCAAACCAATCCATTTTAAACTAAAATATGATTTCCTAATACAAAAACCAGACACAAATATCCCTAATGTTCTGTCTAAATTATCTATCAGACAAAGTAGTCTTAATCCTATTTCCATAACCCATACTTCCTGATACCTGTTTATCGATCCCTTTCAGGGATATCATGACGTCAATGACTTCCTTTATTATACAAGGTACATGTATATTCAGAGAAAACTGAATGCTGTTGAGTGGGGGACTGCTTTGATTCCCCACCGTGTTTTTTCGATTTCGCGTATCTTAAATGTGATTGGTTAAATCATTGTTTTTTGAACAGTAGGAAGTGCTTTGTAATGATCATCAAAAAATCGACCACTGGTTAATTGTAGACATCTCTAAATCTCCTATATTGAGTAAAAACAGTTTGTAAACATTTCATATTTTTTATCTAAATTTGGTTTATCTTACCACTGTTGCTTCCAGCTGGAAATATCTTTCCATTTTCATTCTTTAGTGCGTCAACATTGAGGGGTACAAAAATGGGTCCTCTTAAGGGGTCAGATTGGGGGGTATATGGCAGAGCGAAGGGGTCACTCGGGACGGGCACTAAGTGAAAGCCATACGCTCCAGCTCTTCTAACCCAGTTATTCATCTAAAAAAGGAAACAGTTTGTCAATGCATGTATATGAAACAGAGAATTGAGATCGCGGTTTATTTTGTCCATTAATACGCACTTCTGGAAATTATTCTCAATTGTCATTAACAGATCATGCCATTGTAAAAATTTCAAAAATTGTAAAAAATGATATGGTCAGTTTATATTTTTAAACTTTTATTTCTACTCCCTTCTGACTTTGTGTGATGGCTTGGAAATTAGTCCATCAGATGATGATTATCAAAACAAACTAAATGAAATTTCTTCAAATCGTGAAATGAAATGACTACAAACATGTAAACTCAGGCCAGGAGGTCTGCCAAAAATTCTTTCAAAATCATGCAGTTTTTCAACATTCTGATCACTTTTTTAGTGATTTTGGCCAAAGTTGTCATAACTGAACCCCCCTCTGGAATTTTTCAAAACATGAACTCCCCCTTGGCAAATCCTGGTTATGGGCCTGACGTGTACATTATATGTAAACATACCAGATCCCCAAGTATACATCCTGTGGCCACCATCCAGCAGACCTCCAATTCAAAGCCACAGTTAGGATGGTAATGCCCATGATATCTTGCTGTCCCCCACTCTGGTCTGTCACTCTGTTCATTTGGGTCTATATCCACATTCACATACTTGTGCATAGGGGCACCTTAAATGTGGAAGAAGAGTTTTAGATTTTAATACAAATTAAAGCCACAGTTAGGATGGTAATGCCCATGATATCTTGCTGTCCCCCAATCTGGTCTGTCACTCTGTTCATTTGGGTCTATATCCACATTCACATACTTGTGCATAGGGGCACCTTAAATGTGGAAGAAGAGTTTTAGATTTTAATACTAATAAAAGCCACAGTTAGGATGGTAGTGCCCATGATATCTTGCCGTCCCCCACTCTGGTCGATCACTCTGTTCATTTGGGTCTAAATCCACATTCACATACTTGTGCATAGGGGCACCTTAAATGTGGAAGAAGAGTTTTAGATTTTAATACTAATAAAAGCCACAGTTAGGATGGTAGTGCCCATGATATCTTGCAGTTCCCCACTCTGGTCTGTCACTCTGTTCATTTGGGTCCATATCCACATTCACATACTTGTGCATAGGGGCACCTTAAATGTGGAAGAAGAGTTTTAGATTTTAATACAAATAAAAGCCACAGTTAGGATGGTAGTGCCCATGATATCTTGCAGTCCCCCACTCTGGTCTGTCACTCTGTTCATTTGGGTCTATATCCACATTCACATACTTGTGCATAGGGGCACCTTAAATGTGGAAGAAGAGTTTTAGATTTTAATACAAATAAAAGCCACAGTTAGGATGGTAATGCTGATGGTATCTTGCTGTCCCCCACACTGGTCTGTCACTCTGTTCATTTGGGTCTATATCCACATTCACATACTTGTGCATAGGGGCACCTTAAATGTGGAAGAAGAGTTTTAGATTTTAATACAAATAAAAGCCACAGTTAGGATGGTAGTGCCCATGATATCTTGCAGTCCCCCACTCTGGTCCGTCACTCTGTTCATTTGGGTCTATATCCACATTCACATACTTGTGCATAGGGGCACCTTAAATGTGGAAGAAGAGTTTTAGATTTTAATACAAATAAAAGCCACAGTTAGGATGGTAGTGCCCATGATATCTTGCCGTCCCCCACTCTGGTCTGTCACTCTGTTCATTTGGGTCTATATCCACATTCACATACTTGTGCATAGGGGCACCTTAAATGTAGAAGAAGAGTTTTAGATTTTAATACAATTCAAAGCCACAGTTAGGATGGTAATGCCCATGATATCTTGCCGTCCCCCACTCTGGTCTGTCACTCTGTTCATTTGGGTCTATATCCACATTCACATACTTGTGCATAGGGGCACCTTAAATGTGGAAGAAGAGTTTTAGATTTTAATACAAATAAAAGCCACAGTTAGGATGGTAATGCTGATGGTATCTTGCTGTCCCCCACACTGGTCTGTCACTCTGTTCATTTGGGTCTATATCCACATTCACATACTTGTGCATAGGGGCACCTTAAATGTGGAAGAAGAGTTTTAGATTTTAATACAAATAAAAGCCACAGTTAGGATGGTAGTGCCCATGATATCTTGCCGTCCCCCACTCTGGTCTGTCACTCTGTTCATTTGGGTCTAAATCCACATTCACATACTTGTGCATAGGAGCACCTTAAATGTGGAAGAAACAATTCTAGATTTTTTTAATACAAATAAAAACCACAGTTAGGATGGTAGTGCCCATGATATCTTGCTGTCCCCCACTCTGGTCTGTCACTCTGTTCATTTGGGTCTATATCCACATTCACATACTTGTGCATGGGAGCACCTTAAATGTGGAAGAAGAGTTTTAGATTTTAATACAAATAAAAGCCACAGTTAGGATGGTAGTGCCCATGATATCTTGCAGTCCCCCACTCTGGTCTGTCACTCTGTTCATTTGGGTCTATATCCACATTCACATACTTGTGCATAGGGGCACCTTAAATGTGGAAGAAGAGTTTTAGATTTTAATACAAATAAAAGCCACAGTTAGGATGGTAGTGCCCATGATATCTTGCCGTCCCCCACTCTGGTCTGTCACTCTGTTCATTTGGGTCTATATCCACATTCACATACTTGTGCATAGGGGCACCTTAAATGTAGAAGAAGAGTTTTAGATTTTAATACAATTCAAAGCCACAGTTAGGATGGTAATGCCCATGATATCTTGCCGTCCCCCACTCTGGTCTGTCACTCTGTTCATTTGGGTCTATATCCACATTCACATACTTGTGCATAGGAGCACCTTAAATGTGGAAGAATGCTAGATTATAATACAAATAAAAACCACAGTTAGGATGGTAGTGCCCATGATATCTTGCCGTCCCCCACTCTGGTCTGTCACTCTGTTCATTTGGGTCTATATCCACATTCACATACTTGTGCATAGGAGCACCTTAAATGTGGAAGAAACAATTCTAGATTTTTTTAATACAAATAAAAACCACAGTTAGGATGGTAGTGCCCATGATATCTTGCCGTCCCCCACTCTGGTCTGTCACTCTGTTCATTTGGGTCTATATCCACATTCACATACTTGTGCATAGGAGCACCTTAAATGTGGAAGAATGCTAGATTATAATACAAATAAAAACCACAGTTAGGATGGTAGTGCCCATGATATCTTGCCGTCCCCCACTCTGGTCTGTCACTCTGTTCATTTGGGTCTATATCCACATTCACATACTTGTGCATGGGAGCACCTTAAATGTGGAAGAAGAGTTTTAGATTTTAATACAAATAAAAGCCACAGTTAGGATGGTAGTGCCCATGATATCTTGCCGTCCCCCACTCTGGTCTGTCACTCTGTTCATTTGGGTCTATATCCACATTCACATACTTGTGCATATGGGCACCTTAAATGTGGAAGAAGAGTTTTAGATTTTAATACAAATAAAAGCCACAGTTAGGATGGTAGTGCCCATGATATCTTGCCGTCCCCCACTCTGGTCTGTCACTCTGTTCATTTGGGTCTATATCCACATTCACATACTTGTGCATAGGGGCACCTTAAATGTGGAAGAAGAGTTTTAGATTTTAATACAAATAAAAGCCACAGTTAGGATGGTAGTGCCCATGATATCTTGCCGTCCCCCACTCTGGTCTGTCACTCTGTTCATTTGGGTCTATATCCACATTCACATACTTGTGCATAGGGGCACCTTGAATGTTGAAGAAACAACTTAAAATTTTCATACATTGGATATAGAAGTTACGAATGTAATGACCTTTTCTTTAGAGAGGTTAAAAGTTCAGGGTGCATTTCTCAGGTTTTCTAAGAAAGCCATGGTTTCTTCATATGCTGTTTCAGGACTTTTTTAAGTTTATTATTTTAAACTTATGTTAGTTATGATTTCCTAGACTGCAACAATGGGTTCACAAAATGATCAATGACAGTGGTGATTGTTCAGTTAAAAGTACAATGTTCCGACATACAAGTATTCTAATACATAGAGGTTATACCTAAGATATACCACTCCCAATCAACCCCCCCCCCTTTAAACATGTTGATTCATTTAAAAACTGAATACAATGTTGACATACAAGTATGCAATATAATAGAGGCTAAACCTAGGGAAGAATTATCAAGTTTATTCAGAGGGATGATATGATATATAGGGTATACACCAAAAAACTGAATATTTTTACCAACATGCTGTATAGACCAAATATCATAGTGATCATGGTATAAAATTCCATACAACATTTTTTGATGCATACGATTAGCATAAAAACAAGGAATATGATGCTTAAAGGGTGACACATATCGTTTAGCAAATAGAACGCTCGTTTCTGGTGTTGCTCACCGTTTAGTATAAAAGGTCCGATCCCGGAATAATACTCAAGGGTTTACAGGTTCTAGGTCGTTGTGTCAACACCTCTAACTGTTATATAGTATAAGTATATTATAGATCGTCACACATTTATAAAAGGGTGATTTTTATTTTGACAAATCAATTCCACATTTATGGGTGAAATTTCAGGATCTTCTATTTGTGTACAATAAGGAAAAATTGGCATCTAAATTTCCCCATAACGTAATAGCACACAGCTTGGCATATGAAATATCCTACAACTGAAACAAAGCAAGACAAACCGGTTTCTAATACAAGGATTTATATTGGCTGTTGTACATGTATTCTTTGAACGCAATCACTCTTTGGATAACGTTTTCAAAATCATTATAAACGGATTACTTTATCTCAAAGACAATTTCAATAAACTGGATTTTACAGAACTCCCCTTATTTCTTAAAAATGGACTGATCCAGTTGATTCGCCTGGAGCCGCCATATTGTTTTTATACGGGATGCTAATCGTCACCCTTTAAACAGAATAAAAAATAAAGTGCCCCAAAATACACACCTCATCCTCTTTAAACTCATCCTCTTTAAAACATATTGATCTATTTACCTGATAAATACTGAGTACGAGTCGGACTAGATGCTGCACCACTGTCCCAAGTGGACTTGGCTCTACTCTGAAGGTTAGGGTCAGAAGATGAACTGGCCAATTGGTTGGCATGATCAGCATGTAGGTTATGACTGTGGATTGCTATTTCACACCATTCATATTGAAATGATGTGTTCTCGTAAAGACTGATGGATGACAGGCTAGATTGGACATCTGTAAGAAAAATGTTATTGTGTAACAGCAAGAGGAAACAGACTTAGAGATAACAGACATAATTACATCTCAAGTTTACCACCTTCGTTTCCCCAAATTTCCAATATGTAGTTTTTTCGATGACTAGTCTTTTCGATGAAGACATGTTCCATACACCTTTCTTTATCTTGATGAGTAATAAAAAGCTATATGATATTGCAGTATTGGTTAAAACCGCTAGAAATAAACATGATATTGTTCAATTTGTTTGTCAAGTTTGACCAATCAGAGATGTATGTTTTCTCATTCTCAATACAGGTTTACATTATAAGCATATGTCATCTTTGTTCTCTGGGGTGTTTCCCCCTCTTTGTGACAGAGTATTAGTTACAGATTGGATAAGCCTGTGGTCTATTACTTTGAATATCATGTGCTTTGGTCAAGTTTACCCATCAGCAGAGAGCAGGAAAAGTATGTGAATGTCGTTAGTGGCAATTATCTCATAAGAGTCAACTTATACAAAACCAAACAAAACATATATGGTAAGTCTATCTGATCAGAACACCAGTGAAACTGGCCAAAAGTGTTCAGAATTGCAGGTGTTAACATTCAGAATTGCAGGTGTTAACATTTCAAGGTTTCTTAATAAACGAGTCGAGGGGTGAATTGGTAGATGACAAAATTTGAACCAAGAAAAAGTGTTCACATTGAGAGGTGTTCAAATTAGCAAGGTGTTCAGATGTAAAGGCATAACTGTATCAATAATAATCACCTTTGCCTTTCTCCTTGCCCGCAGTCATAATGCAGTAAAGATAGAATCCATGGATAAACTTGTGACGAGGATTTCCAGAAGCATGTATGACGTAACCTTCCGTGATGAGACGTTGTAGGATCTCTATGGCCTGGTAGTCAGTTACAGCGCCCTCTAGGTAGCACTTCACCCAGGCAACCGCTTCAAATGATACAAAGCAGTAGCTAGGGAGACCAGCCTGCTTCGTTAGGAATGACAGCCCTTCACTGAAAATAAGAATTGAATATTTGAAAACCCTGTACCTCATGTGCATATATTTGGACACATTGTTTGATCCATATATGTACATGTAAGCATACGCTTCATCAAGAATTTGAGGCCCAAAAGTTCACTAAGAACATTGGAAGATGTTCGTATAAGATTAGTGTTCATATATACAGGTTTTAGTCTATCAACATGTATATCCTGACCTGACACCCCTAATTGAAAGTGTACATACTGTGTGTCAATCATTCCTGCTATGATGTCCTGGGACGATGAATTTAAGCTAAGTGTGTGGACTATCTCATCTGCAGGAGCAGGGGGTGGTAGCTCTCTGATAAAATATACAACAAATAATCAGAAAGTAAAACTTAAAGGTACAAGTACAATCACAAAATCATTCATCTACGTATTGTAAAAACACACCATGTTCTACTAAAAGGGTCTAATTGTATAAACACTGGCTGGTAGTAACATTTTTAAATAATTTTTCAAACTGATAAATGAAATATAAATCTTCAACTAGTTAGGCACATACAACCTTTAAAGGTCCAGCTTGTAACTTAACACCAACAGTCTGTAATGTATGGCTCAACCTTTAAAGGCTAAGCTTATATCTAAACACTGTAATGAATGGTCTTACCCTCTCGAGGGGATGCTCTCCCCCATCCTGACACTGGTCGCACTGGGGTGGATGTAAGACTGGCTGGGCTCATGTAGTGACAAGGGTGACCCATAGGTGGCAGACTGAAAGTTCATATTATATCAAATAAACATTCATCTGATTTATTGTTTATATCCATTTTGTTAGTATTATGTCTTATATGTTCGTATAATATCAGACATGTTATGTGACCTAATTATATTCAATTATTGACGAACATATTCAGCCTTTAAAATCTGCCACTTGTGAATGAGTGAATATGGAACTACAATTATTCCATTTATTTAAAAAGAGAGTGCTCTTTTATATTAGTCAGTGATTAAAGTTTAGAATTTTTGTCAAAATGTTAGAACGTCATTGTATAAATGGCGCTTTAAACTGTAACATTGCTTTGAAGAAGTGCCATTACCTTCTTAAGATCTAAGACCTGAACAGGGGTCCCAGTGACACCCTGATTGTCAGACATCTGGGAATAAAATGCTTTCTCTGGGGGAATGGGAGACACTGCCCCAGGGCGGCTACCAAATCTCTCACGCTCAGCTTTCTGGAACAGCAGATTTGGCATTTATTAGCTTAGAAGCATCAACATGCAGTATGAATGTTATAAATCCCAAAGAAGGCTATGGGATTTAGATTTAAGAGGCTTGCATTATAAAGGTCCAACACATTGTTAGTAATTTACAACATTACATTAACAATTCAATTCTACGTATTCACACACATCAATCATCCAAATGGAAAAGCAAGACTGTCATGTTAACACATGTAAAACATTTTTGTTTTATCTATTTATATTGAAATTCATTTTAATAAGAAAATATAAATGCAATCCCACTAAACTAGCTAACATCAATCAACTAAACAACATTTAAGCTTATGTGATAACAAAATGAAAGGTAAACTCAAAAGAAACACAAAATAAGAATGTTATTATTAATATTTTTACCCTATCAGATCACAACACTGAAAATCCCATTTATCTATATATGAATATTTGGCCAACACCATCTCGTATATTAGGTCTGTATGATATTCTTTTAAATTAAAATGATTTCTGTTCATAAAATACAACCAAACTACTTTTATATATGCCATGGTTCAACTAAGGGAGTGTCATACTATGAAACATATGATAAAGGTAGCATTTTCATATGTACTAGATTTCTACTAATCGTATGATCTGTAAAATGAAGCCTTCTGATGAGTCAGTTCTTGTGCTGTACCAATCTGTATTGCTACTGAGATTGTCCCCATTGATCATCTCTGTCGCAATACAGAAAATATTGGTACGGAGGGAACAATCTCAGTAGCAAAACAGAGGATCACACGATAAAAACGTTATAGAATGATTTGAAGTGCAATACAGGATATATTCATAATTCTGCTCTCGATATTCTGTATTAGCACTCAACTTAGTCTCACTCCAATACGGAACTTCTCGCGCAGAATATATCCTGTATTGAACTTCAAATCATTCAATAACTTATAGTATATATCCTGAAAAACTATGCCTAGGGGTCATTAACAGATTTGTTCAAAAGTTCAGAATTCCTAACTTTACTGTTCTCTTAGTACTATATCATTGGTTACAGTAATTGGTATAGTAGTTCTTAAATTCTGACCCCTGATTGGCAATTGTCTTTCAAACTATAAATTTGACAATACAGGATAACATACTTTGTATGTTTGTCTCTAGAATAATCTAAAGACAATTGAATTTCAAGCCTCAAAATTCACAATATCTTTAGAACGGGCCATCCCGTTGGCACCAATGAAACAACAAAAGGATACATATCACTTTACCCCTGAAAACACCCCTGAAGACACCTTAAAACCCAATATGAACTATATCACTTACTCCTGTTGATGATTTTGGTTTAGTGGCTTCATTATATAAAGCTTGCAAAGTCTTAAAAAGATGGTATTTAGAAAACATGAGTTAATCAAGATTAAGGTGCCAAATATGCACACAGCTGGAAAATGTCAATGAGCGTACATTAAGGATGGCGTCCAATTACTATTAGCTATGATACGGAGGCAAGGGTATAAATGGTGGTTTCATTAATGAATATTGAATTTTTAAATAAACATATAAATCAAAATTTCAAAGTTTCATTAGATGAGGGTGCGAGGGGGGGGGTGTCAAACCATAATGATATTGACTTTTTTTGATAACTGTTGATAATTGGACGCCATGCCTGACCAACAAAATTAATTTTTTTTCTAATTGTTCATAATGTGTTTATATATATATCTTTTATTGACTCTTTAGATCTCATATATGAACTATATCACTTACTCCTGTTGATGATTTTGGTTTAGTGGCTTCATTATATAAAGCTTGCAAAGTCTTAAAAAGATGGTATTTAGAAAACATGAGTTAATCAAGATTAAGGTGCCAAATATGCACACAGCTGGAAAATGTCAATGAGCGTACATTAAGGATGGCGTCCAATTACTATTAGCTATGATACGGAGGCAAGGGTATAAATGGTGGTTTCATTAATGAATATTGAATTTTTAAATAAACATATAAATCAAAATTTCAAAGTTTCATTAGATGAGGGTGCGAGGGGGGGGGGTGTCAAACCATAATGATATTGACTTTTTTTGATAACTGTTGATAATTGGACGCCATGCCTGACCAACAAAATTAATTTTTTTTCTAATTGTTCATAATGTGTTTATATATATATCTTTTATTGACTCTTTAGATCTCATATCATGACATATTAGTCACTAAGGTAGAGCAGTTCTTCCCATTGTCGAGTTGAAGAACTGGTATCTTTATCCTGGCTAGAACCATAGACAATTCTAGCAAGCGCCAGCCTTTTATCGAGTTAGCAGCACTCTAGTTACTTGTCCAAAGTAAGTCCAAAAATTGACATCTTTATGAGACTTCAAGTATGTATTTTACAGAACATTTTTAAGTATAAATGTTGAACACATTCCGTAAAATTGTTGTTAATATACACTACAGTGAGAAGTAGGAGGGGGGGGGGGGGAGGAGGAGGTGGGTTACAGAGTCTATAGCAATAGAAGATCAAATAGGATGAAGGGACTCAAGAATTGTGGAACTTACTTATGCCATCAACATTTAGGAAATACAAATACAATTGGAGTGTCAGATCTCGAAGAATGAAATATTTGTCTTAATGTACCTACCTCTAGTCTGGCTCTATTGGGCCTAGCTAGGGCCGTCATGCTGAGTCTACGAGTGCGCTCTGATTGGCTTATACTACTCAGCTATATAGAGAGGATTAATGAAAGGTTAAAGGTTAACACAACTAATGACAGGTTAAAGGTTAATGGACCAAATGCTTTGACTGACGAGAGTTCTGCCCAGCTCGTCTACATCTTTAAACATACTTGTTGGTCAAAACCAAGAAGATGATCTTATTTCCTCGATAAACCCTAATTTGTGAATCAATCCTATCATTTAAAGCACATTTGAATTTCAAGGAGTTTGTGTATCCCAATTGAAAGACCTGCAGTGCAATGACCTGCATTGCCTCCCCAACTTGGGAACCATCAAATTTAATATTATACATTTTCCAGCGTTCAGAAAAATTCCCATTTACCACATGAAGCCAAAATTAAGAATTTTGCTTTACACAAACTAAGCAGATTGAGCTTGTTAAAATGGTGACACTGATCAGACAATACTGCGATAAACAAAAACATTCTGACATGATGTTACAAAATAATTTATGATAACAGAAAAAAGCAAGAAGGCTCAGTATTACAAAGCATTTAGTCCAGAGAGTGGTTAATACAACATATAGAATAGACATACTTAAAACATAATTTAAATATAATTAAAATTACAGTTAATAATTAAATGTATTTTTCTTAATTAGAAAAAAGAACAAATATTATGTTAATACATATTAGCTATATGTTTAAAGAAAAATATTGCTCCCTTACTGCCTTACAGTCCAATTTGGTGATGTTGATTTTTCCCCAATTATCCTTGATTTGCCTCCCCTATTTGCCTCCCCTATTTCAAGAACACACCTCACCTAATTTTATGTTATTTCTGCACAGTTTAGAATGTTAACAGCATGCCTGTTTTGTTATTAGATCCTTTGTTAATTCCACTGCCTTATGTTTCAATTATGATCATAGAAACAAATGCTACACTTTTAGTACATGTTTTCACATAATGTATATAAGTGTCGTCAAATCATGTGTTTTAGTACATGTTTCCACATAATGTATATAGTGTCGTCAAATCATGTGTTTTAGTACATGTTTTCCCATAATGTATATAGTGTCGTCAAATCGTGTGCGAATACTAGCTTATTTTCCATGAAAATGTGACGCAAAACCGTAAATGTGAAAATTCACTCACATCTCTATGTTGTAATGCAGGAATAGTCGTTAAACTTGCCCGCCGTGACCTCTAAAACAAAACACGTCATGCTATGTTCACAACAGTTTTGAATTAAGCAGTAAGTCCAGTATACAAGCCTAAAAGAGTATGCTCAAACACTTGCTTCATCATGGTCTTGCAACATGCCCCCCCCTCTACGAGGGATGCACCTTTTTCTCCATTTACCAGTTTAGAATCTTGATGGATATTATTTTGATGCGCCCTCAACCACTAATAGTTTCACTTTGTGTCATAATATGCAAAACTCAAAATGAACTAAAAGGGTTTTTGGTTTCCATAGCAACAAGACAACATTTCCCATCTGCAATTCTTTTTTGGCAAATAGATCCACACGAGGCTTGTTGCAAGACTAGTTTTACCACAAGGCACTTAAGCTACTTAACACCTCAATTATTTTTGGCTTGTATATGCAGGACTTCAAATTAATCACTGAATAAATTAAAACATGAAAAAATAACATGGCATTCTATATGAACAAAAGTGTTCAAATAATTAAGAGAAACTAATATTAGTGAGAAACGTAACTGTAAAAAATGTGATCAAGCCATGCAAAGATAAGTTAAGAACTCAAAAATGTGAAAATATTGTTAAAAAACAAAAGATTTCAAAATCTCTTGAATACACAGAGCAACAAGAAATTGTCATAAAAACTCACTGTTATTGCAATCAAGAGATCAAAGATTTCAGTTAATAAAACTCAATCCGTTTTATTCACAATAAAACATTATGGGATCAACCTGATTGTCACAGTCTTTGAAAATGTTGACCGAGTCAAACATTATTGACCATATATGGTTAAATGTTGACTGAGTCAAACATTATTGACCATATATGGTTAAATGTTGACTGAATCAAACATTATTGACCATATATGGTTAAATGTTGACTGAATCAAACATTATTGACCATATATGATTAAATGTTGACTGAGTCAAACATTATTGACCATATATGGTTAATTGTTGACAGAGTCAAACATTATTGACCATATATGGTTAAATGTTGACTGAATCAAACATTATTGACCATATATGGTTAAATGTTGACTGAGTTAAACATTATTGACCATATATGGTTAATTGTCGACTGAGTCAAACATTATTGACCATATATGGTTAAATGTTGACTGAATCAAACATTATTGACCATATATGGTTAAATGTTGACTGAGTCAAACATTATTGACCATATATGGTTAAATGTTGACTGAATCAAACATTATTGACCATATATGGTTAAATGTTGACTGAGACAAACATTATTGACCATATATGGTTAAATGTTGACTGAGACAAACATTATTGACCATATATGGTTAAATGTTACAATCATCAGAGAATAGGAGACTGCTTTGATCATTTTTTGAATTTATGAAATGAAATGGATGAAACTTAAAATCATTTAAATGCTGAATTGCATCTTGTGACAATCAGGTGAACCTGACTGCTCTTCCTCTTTAAACAAATTCACTTATTTACACTACCTTGGGCTTTCTGGTTTGACCTGGGCGACGTATTTTGTTGATAGTTTCAACAAATCGCAAGAATCCATCGATTAGTTGGTTGTTTTCCTCTTCAGTGCATGCTTCAAAAATATCACATCTGAAATAAAAAGTACTGTATATAGGCCCAATTCAAGGTTTTTCAAATGCCACACAAATATAGGTTTAAAGCTGAGCTGTTTTTGATGGAAAACCTATTTTTGGTTAATAATTTGATTGCTCTGATGAGATCAAGGACGACTGGCAGCCATTATTCACACTCAATCTTCCATTGGTTGACATGGCCCAGTTTGGTATCATTATTTCCCATATTTTAAAGACTGGCACTGTCATGGGAGTTTGAATATTACCATAATGCTGGTAATGTTCATCTCACAATGAAATACCTGGTCCAAAGATGAACCTTATAGATGATATATACTGGCAGCCATCATTCAAACTCAATCTTCCATTGGTTGGCATGGCCCAGTTTGGTCATCTTATTTCCCATATATTAACCCTTTCCTGACGTGAATATAAGAGGAAAATGTTGTCCCCAGTGACGGATAAGTAAGAGTGTTTTTTAGGGGAAAACTGCAAAATACCTATGCCCTGGGACCTATACCTTGGATTTCATCACTGATATACAATTTTTAGTAAGGATTATCACATAACAACTTGTCAAAATTTGGTGTAAAAATACTGAATAGAACTGGAGATATTGTTATTTCATTGATGTATATAAATAAAAATAATGGTGCCAAAAGGAGCCTATCGTCCTGAAAGGTATTACATAATAGGGCTCCATATGGAGCCGCGCCTATCATCGTGAAAGGGTTAATAAAGACTGAGACTGCCATGGGAGTTTGAACATTATGTACCATAATGCTGGTAATGTTCATCTCACAATGAAATACCTGGTCCAAAGATGAACCTTATAGAAATATTATTTCTAAATTGTTCCATGCCAGGAAATGGAAGTGGATGCAATTGAAGATCCAGTTTGAATAAAAGCTGCCAATCCTCCTTGGATGAAATAATACTTGTCAAAACAAAAATGTGAAAAAACTAGTGCTAGGTGGTTCCATCTATGTAACTATAAATGTTGGGACCTGGTTACTACATAAAAATAGGAGTCTATTTCATCATTTAATATCTTATTTAGCAAAATACAACAACAATTCATACCTGGTGCTGCCATCTACAATACGTTTGGTGGCCTGGTTGTTACATGGCAAAAGATAAAGTCGACTCCGCCAATATTTTAGTGACTCCATCAAGGAGAATTCCCCCTCCCCTCGTGTACAGATATACTGGTCCAAATAATTCCAGTTGTAATTCTCTACCTTCTCATTGGAGAACTCAGTCCAAGACACGTCATACTTGAAAGAGTCAGGACACTGAAAGAATATTTGGTAAGTTATAGGATATCCTATGATTTTGAAAAATATCATTTTTATCCACGAGTTGATATCAATATCTGGACAGGTGAGCGCACCGAATGAGTGCAGATATCACAAAATATCACAAAAAATCATAGGATGTTCTATTTATCCCATAGTTCACCTAACCATGGACGTAGTTGGTATAGGCCTACGTCCATGACCTAATAAAGCATTTCAAAACAACATTCAGTTTTATTTTGTCAACTCTATGGCCAAAACATTAATAATTTCCTTATTTGTGACTAAGCTCATGTAACAATGCACATCACATTGTCTGGAGTTTTCAAATCTCAATATTCTCCCTATTCCACAGATATAGTTTTTTTCCACGCATTTGCAAAATGTCATAGATATATATACGTGTTATTCTACAGATTTGACCTCAACTATGGGATAATTTGTAATATGGCTGAGATTAATTTAATAATGAAGGACCCACGGTCCTGTGCTCACACAGTTTGGAACCTTCAGAGGAATGATATCCTGACTTTCAAAAAAATATTGATTATAGGATTTGTAGTCTCGAACTTTGAGAAACTTAGATAGCACAGTTGTGTGACCTAGTTTGATGACCTTTGACCTTGAAAATTTTACTTAGTCAGAGCTCAGTAAGGTCTTTTGTGATTAAGCTGACCAAAATTTACATCCAAAAATCAATTTGAAAAATCAACTTTTTTGACCTTTCGAAGGTCACTGAAGGTCAACTAAAGGTCAAATGCTAAAACTAATGTCAGATTTGAACTCCTGGCAACTTGTAGAAAGTGTGGTCAAATTGAAGCAAGTTGAAAAATAACTTATTTTTACTGTTTTTTGACGTCAAATATCTCAAAAACGGTAAAAATTTGATGCTGACATATATTGAGGAATATGTAGGGAATGCTTTAATCTAGTGATGATGTAATTCATTGCAAGAAATGATCAAGTATAAGGCAAACTTTGAGAAACTTGTCAATCATAAAACCTGCCATTGACTTTATACATGAGAAAGTTTCCTGAAAATGACCAAGTCCTACTTTTTGTAAACACCAAAAACTGTAATTCCAAGAGCTTTGAAATCTTCAGAGAACATAAGTTGCATATACAGCAACTACTAAAAGTTATTTGAAAGTTCTACTTTAACAAAGTGTCTAGTATTTTCAGAAAATTTGACTTTTTGACGTCAAAATCAGGAATTTCTCGGAAACCGGGCCAACTTGGGAAATGGCGATGATAGGTCAAATAGGCATTATGGATATGCATAAAATGAATGTGGCTATGACTCAATCCGAATAGCAGTTTTAATTTGTGCAGCCAATGTTGACGGATGGACGGACGGATGGACCAACGGACGGACGCCTGGTCGATCCCATAGGCTCACTGTGTGAGCCAAAAAACCAGCAAATTCATATGAATCTCCCCTACCAGGCTAACTTTGCCAGGTACTGAGTAAAATATTATCGCTGAAAATGTTACATCTCAAGGCATCTCAATATCGCAAGGACAATTAAATCGACAAAAATTAGTTTTGTCCAGAGAAAAATAAAGTGAGTACAAATGGAAAAGTGGATGAATACCTGGAACCTGTATTTGCTCTGGATTGTCTTCTGGGGGTAGGGGTGTCTTGGTTTGTAGCACGTAACTGTTATGGTAGAACCAGTGAGGGAGATCTTGTGAAAGATGCGACCAATACTCAAGTAATACTCCTCCTGTAATGCACAAATAAATCAAATGTACAAGTAATACTCCTTCTGTAATGTAATGTACAATTAAATATAATGCACTTGTAAGTAAATATGTTGAAAAAGTATTAATTCTCCTGTAATCTACAAGTAAATATGATGCAAATGCATATTAGTATTCAAGTGGATGCAATTTTGCTTTCAAACTCTTGTTCAGGAGGTCCTTTCTCGAAAGTTTCATTATTAACGAATCATTAATTCAATTGTTAATAACAATTTTCCTGTTTCTCGAAAGTTAACAATTCGTGATGACGTCATGTTTTTAACGATTTATTCGTTATCCATGATTGATTTTATGAGTACGAATGGGGGTCTCGTTATTCCATTAACGATGTGGTATCCATAGAAACGAATCCACGACTCGCTTTCGACGATTTGTTAATAACGATAAGTTTCGAGAAACGGCCCCCTGTGTAGTATTGCTTGATTTTAAAACTGGGAAAATCACTGGCTATGACACTTACAGTTTGTTGTACACGCGACCTGGCCCTTATTCCCGTTCTCAGCTGGTTTTGTGCACTCGTCAACTGTGGCTGAATGACTCTGGAGACTCTGGAAGAAGCATGGGGCTTCACAATCATCTGGAAACCCTGAAAATAGATCATAAACATAAGTATAAACTGTAAATGCATACCACCATATAAGGTCTGTATTTAGGCCTTTAGGAATACAACTACTCGTCAACTGTGGCTGAATGACTCGGGAGACTCTGGAAGAAGCATGGGGCTTCACAATCATCTGGAAACCCTGAAAATAGATCATAAACATAAGTATAAACTGTAAATGCATACCACCATATAAGGTCTGTATTTAGGCCTTTAGGAATACAACTACTCGTCAACTGTGGCTGAATGACTCGGGAGACTCTGGAAGAAGCATGGGGCTTCACAATCATCTGGAAACCCTGAAAATAGATCATAAACATAAGTATAAACTGTAAATGCATACCACCATATAAGGTTTGTATTTAGGCCTTTAGGAATATAACTACATGTACCTTAATGAGTACCTGATATCCTAGAAGCCAGTAAAATATATCCTTATTTTCAAGATTTAAGATAACCAGAGTGTTTGATGTTAAATTGGTACCAAGATTCACTTTAATACAGATCAGTGAAGTAAATCCCATTCTCAAGGAAAGATATCTTAACCAGAAAACAAAAAATTGACAAAATGAATTCATGAAAATAAGATTAATTGCAATATAAATAACTTTATTATTATTAGTTTATATTTCTAAGATTGGTGACAAGGATTTAATGAAGAGGACCCAGTTGTTCAGAAGCACTCTTAGATGAATAGCACTATGAATATAAGAAAACAAGGTTAATTGATAATAAATGTCCAACTTGATTAAGATTTATTGAAATAAGGATTTCATGAACAGAATAATAACTAGAAAATGGAAATTCAATAAGTTCAATTTCAGACTCGGAGGTTTTGGGATTTTTTGCTAAAATATGATATCTTGATCCACATATCAAATATATCTTCACCTGATATTCGATCTATATCCTTGTAACCATGGGATATAGTGATAAACTTACTTGTCACCATTTTCATGAATATATTACATCATGTTTTCACAATTTCATAAACGGTGAATAATAAAAAATTGTGATGTAAATTAGAAAAACAGCAACTCCACGGAGTAGCAAATCCCACACAACAAAACATATTTTGCTTATAAGTGGCCATCTTGAAAATTCCTTCTTGAGCAGAGCTTGTTTGTCCCAAGGCATCAACATATAAAATGTAAACCATATCCATCAATTAGCATTTGAGTTATCAAAGATTTCATTCCTTTTTTACAAAAAAATTGCAGCCATTTTGAAATTCAGCCGCCATTTTGAAAATTGTTCTCGAACAGAGCTACTGTGTCCCTCGGCATCAGCATATAAAATTTCAAAAAAATCCATTCACTGCTATTTGAGTTATCAAAGATTACATTTTTTAGGAAAAATGGCCGCCATTTTGATATTTAGCAGCCATTTTGAATCTCTTCTTCAGGGTAGCTTCTTTGTCCCTAAGCATCATCCTTCAACTGGTATTTGAGTTATCAAAGATTACATTTTTTTATGAAAAATGGCCACCATTATAAAAGCAGCCATTCTAAAAATCTCTTCTTCAGCGTAGCTTCTTTATCCCTAGGCATCAGCATACAAAATTTGAACCAAATCCTTCAACTAGTATTTGAGTTATCAAAGATTACGTGAAAATTCTTTCTTGAAAAAATCTAGGAAAACTACGCTCGCCTTGCGGCCTCCGTAGGAAAACTACGCTCGCCTTGCGGCCTCCGTACGGCGTATCCAGTTTTTTACAGGCTGCAGGGTCGCCGTAGAAATTATAACTCGGAGTTATAATATTTGCTCATTTCTGAGGTCCCGGTAGAAATCAACTGGCTCAACAAGATTGAATCGTTATTTGTCAATGTTTCACGATCACTTTTCAGTTGATATTACATCCTAGCACTATGAATAACATTTTAATATTTGGCAGCCATTTTGAAATTCTCTTCTTCATTGTGTATTTCAGAGTTAGCCTATAATAGTTTATGTTATTGGCAAGCCATTCTTGTATAAAATGTATATGATGAAATAATTGACAATTAATAAGAAAGAAAAAAGTTTATAATAAATCGTATAAATAAATAATCGTATCTGCACTGATTGTTTTAGAGTGCATATGTCTGATAATATATATTCGCTACACTACTCCACGAGTGTAGCACTTTATTGCACTTGTATTTCCATGTATGTACATGCTGTCTGCTTACGTCTTTGCTTTAGTGGCTAAAAGTGTGTCTAAATATATGCTACTTCAGTTGTCCCTAATCTACCTATCCTCACCAATTTTCCCTAATTCAGATGCAATTTTCACCAAAAGTGCAGGCCTTTTTAATAATTTTTAGTCCAAAGTTGTATTGAACTTTAAGACATGATTTAAACTGTAAAGGGGAAAAGTTAATTGTAAACCTACTTTTTGATATTTTTTTCGTGATTTTTTCGTATTTTTTCTGATATTTTAAAGTGCTTCATACTAATATTATACAATTACAAAATAGAGGGCAGCTAAGTGCCATAAATAATTTGTTTGTTACAACACTCAGATAGTGACTGACTCAGCGTTATGGATTATAATCCTGTATTTTACCTTGTATTGTTTGTGTATAAAACAGTTGTGTCATTCACGTATAGCTATTTATATACTGAATACACACTACCCTACCACGTGACCACGTTTAAAAGGGAAACAGGGTACAGCTAAGTTGCAAATGGAGGACGTGGGTTTAATTCCATATTTCTAAACGTAAAATACATTTTACATTTATTTCTAGTGTTCTGCCAGACATAGAATTGATTCATCAAGCAGTTTGTAGAAAATTGTTGGCAAAAAACCACTATAGGCAAAGATAGATAATAGTGGGCGCAGTGAAGCAAAACTCAATGCAATACACGATACATTTCAGTAAATCTGTCAACGTACAGGGAGCATGTAAGTTTCCCTTCGAGAATGTTACATTGATATGTAACAAAACCCCAGTAAACTGTTATTTAAACTGCGTGTCATCGTGTTATATGTGGATACGTTTTCCAGTATGTTATTCAACTGTACTTTTGTGAATTAATTGTTTTTCTAAAATCTTAAGATGCAAAAAAGTCGTCTCAGAAATGTATCTTTATTTTGCCGTAAGGCATAACATATTGTGAAACATTTTTCCTCAAGGAGGATAATGTTTGTTTCGAGGTGTCTTCTTGTGATGAGCGTTTCATGATTAAATGCAAAATCACTGGAGCAGATACCATCCAAAAACATCTGACATTCAACACGTCATATAAGACTACATCGATCTGGTATTAGTTTTTTTTTACAATAATAGAGAAATACGACGTCATATCACCTCTACAGCAAATCGTGAAGAACAAAATGTCGTGACATGATGGTATTTTGAACAAACTATTTTAAATGATCGGTTTTTGAGGACGGTAGTGAATTAGACCATTCAAGGGGTTATATAGAAAGATTCTTTACATGTAGTTCACGCAATTTTAATTATTCTGAATAGCGGATAGTCATTAATCCTGATAGCCGATAGTCATTTATCACTTACGTGTTCATATTTAATTTCGTTATTTTATTTCAATTTGATACCCTATAAACACGTATAATCTAGCGTTCTTGTTAATTTAATGACTAAAATGCATATACGACCTAAAAGCCCGTGTCTAATTCTACTAAATAATGTTTACTTTATTTGGATTAAATAACAATTGATGACACCTCAAAGCATCAACAGGCGGCCTTTTTAGCATTATTTTCACTGTTTGCAACCTAACTGTACATGAGATCGGGACATAGTATGTCTGTATAATCAGCTTACTTTCTCGCTCCCTGTACTATTGAACAATTTACATTCCTCGTACCCTGTATTGATCAACTTTTGCAGCTGTGTACCGTGTACTATGACGTATCAAATATTTTAAATTTTAAAACGATATTATTTGCATTCTTTCTTCAACTATCATATAACTTGGAACATGGACTTCACTATTGCACCACTGAAGTTCAGCGAATAGCAATATTGACTCACTCCGAGCACCAAACGTATTAACCTTTTCACTAAGCAGTCGATATACTCAAAAGCGACCTGATTGAAAGCCCAAAAATTCGCGCATGCGCTATCGAGGTAGGGTAGTGTGGAATAGTTCTTTGTAATTACATGTGCCTGGTTTTGGCTATTCAACCTAGATTCTTTGTTATATTAGGGCAGGCTGAAATGAATGTGTGAAAATAAAATGAATTACAGGGTGAGGCAAAAATGTCATCCAAAGAAATGTTATTAACTCATTCATCCAGTATGAGTTGAAATCATATTTAGTTAATTTTACCATGTAAAATCTTTTTGCATTTTACCATGTTTCATGGGTCCATTCCTCAAGGTCACAATTCTATGGCCATTCTACAAATTTCAGCCTCGTCCCTTCAGGCAGACCTGCACTGGTCGGTTGAGGTTGTAAGTTCATGGTCACAGAAATTGTTCTCCTACTTGTTGTAGGGGTTGACATTATCTCAGAGATAGCCCGTAGTCATGAGATGAGGCTGGCATTTTGGACCATGTTTTGTTTTATAGCCATAAAATCCCGACTATTGGGGCAGGGCCAATTAAACTTAGTAAAATGAAAGAACATTAAACAAGGTTTTATTATGCGAAATAACATTTTAACAGATGCGGAATTAGTTTGGGCTACATTTTTGGCTCACTCGGTATTAGACTGCACTTTGATAGTATTTATGATGTCATATGTTGGGTAAAAGGCGATGATTTAACCTACTTTTGATGGCAAATTCATTTTAATATGAATGAAATAGTGGCAGGTACTATTTATATTTAATGAGCCATAAAATAGTAGGTTGATCTGACAGTTGTTAGTTGAATTCGCCATTACTACTTGTAATGGGGTTTCAAAGCCCTTGGTCACCTATCTAGTTTCTTCATCCTAGGTCAAATTGACTCAAGAATGGTGTTATATTAGATGCAGCATTTATTGATTTCTGGAATCACAGCACCCCTAAGCGTAATCATAATTCC